ACTTTTTTTTTTTTAACAAAACTTCCATCTACCTCATTAAGAAATGCATTTCCGGCCGGGCATGGTGGCTCAAGCCTGTAATCCCAGCACTTTGGGAGGCCGAGGCGGGTGGATCACGAGGTCAAGAGATCAAGACCATCCTGGTCAACATGGTGAAACCCCATCTCTACTAAAATACAAAAAAAAAAAAAGTAGATGGGCATGGTGGCACATGCCTGTAATCCCAGCTACTCAGGAGGCTGAGGCAGGAGAATTGCCTGAACCCAGGAGGCGGAGGTTGCAGTGAGCTGAGATTGCGCCATTGCACTCCAGCCTGGGTAACAAGAGTGAAACTCCATCTCAAAAAAAAAAAAAAAAAAAAAAAAAAAGAAATGCATTTCCATTTTATTTTTCATTTAATAATTGTTTATGAAAATTTGTAATATATTTATGTTGCTTTGCTTACATGTGACTAAAAATTGTATTGGTAACTTCGTTCAAAAGAAAAAAAGAGTTTAGTATTCAGAGATGTATGATCCCAGGAAAAGAAGAGAAAATCTTAAATCTCAAGCTATACATGTGTATAAAGAAGTATTATAGATGACCAACAAAAGACTTTTCAAGCACAGAAAAATATTACAGGTCAGGTGCAGTGACTGACCCCTGTAATCCAAGCACTTTGGGAGGCAAAGGTGAGAGGACCACTTGAGCTTAGGAGTTCAAGACCAGCGTAGGCAACATAAGGAAACCTCACTTCTGCAAAAAACAAACAAACAAAACAACAACAACAACAACAACAAAAATGGCACGATGGCTCAGGCCTATAATCCCAGCACTTTGGGAAGCCAAGGTGGGTAGATCACCTGAGGTGGGGAGTTCGAGACCAGCCTGACCAACATAGAGAAACTCCATCTCTAAAAATACAAAATTAGGCTGGGCACGGTGGCTCAAGCTTGTAATCCCAGCACTTTGGGAGGCCGAGGCGGGTGGATCACGAGGTCGAGAGATCGAGACCATCCTGGTCAACATGGTGAAACCCCGTCTCTACTAAAAATACAAAAAATTAGCTGGGCATGGTGGCACATGCCTGTAATCCCAGCTCCTCAGGAGGCTGAGGCAGGAGAATTGCCTGAACCCAGGAGGTGGAGGTTGCGGTGAGCCGAGATCGCACCAGCCTGGGTAACAAGAGCGAAACTCCGTCTCAAAAAAAAAAAAAAAAAAAAAAAAAAAATTAGCCAGGCATGGTGGCGCATGCCTGTAATCCTGGCTGCCTGCGAGGCTGAGGCAGGAGAATCACTTGAATCCGGAAGGTGGAGGTTGCAGTGAGCCGAGATGGTGCCATTGCACTCCAGCCTGGGCAAAAAGAGTGAAACTGCCTCTCAAAAAACTAACACAACACGACAACAACAACAAAAAACCCAAAACCAACCAAACAAAAAAAAACAAACTAGCCCAGTGTGGTGGTGTGAGCCTGTAGTCCCAGCTACTTGAGACACTAAGGCATGGGAGGATCACTGTAGCTTGGAAGATTGGGCTGCAGTGAGCTATTATCTTGCCACTGCATGCCAGCCTGAGTGACTGAGCAAGAGATCCTGTCGAAAGAAAGAAGAAGGGTTAGGGTCCTATCAGGGGATGGGGGACTAGGGGAGGGATAGCATTAGGAGAAATACCTAATGTAGATAACAGGGTAATGGATTCAGCACACTACCATGGCAGGTGTATACCTGTGTAACAAACATGCACGTTCTGCATATGTACCCCAGAGCTTAAAGTATAATAAAAATAAATAAAAATTAAAAAAAAGAAGGAAAGAAAGAGAGAAAGGGAGAGAGAGAGAGGGGGAAAAAAGGAAGGAAGGAAGAAGGGAAGGAAGGAGAAAAGAGAGAAAGAAAACAAAATAAAAATATTACATTAGGATGAAGTGCTGATGAGATGTAAAATGGAAATACAAGTTCAAGGAGAAAAAAATGTAAAATTTCTAGTGTTACAGAAGAGTTTGTTCTTGCATTTAAAAATTGTATTTATTCATTCATTTATTTATTGACACAGGGTCTCACACTGTCACCCAGGCTGGAGTGCAGGGGTGGGATCATCAATCACTGCAGCCTCAGCCTCTAAAGCTCAAGTGATCCTTCTGTCTTGGCATACCAAGCAGCTGGGACTACAGGTGTGCACCACCGTGCTCTGCTAATTTTTTATTTTTATTTTTAGTAGAGACAGGGTTTCGCTATGTTGCCCAGGCTGGTCTCAAACTCCTGGACTTAAGTAATCCTCCATCCTCAGTCTCCCAGTTGTATTCTGATACAATTCTCTTCTTAGAAATAAGATTTACAAATATTTTCTCTTTCATTCTCTGAGTCGTCTTTTTACATTCTTGATGGCACAAAAGTTTTTAATTTTGGTGAAGTCTAATCTGTGTTTTTCTTTTTGGTTTGTGTTTCTGGTTCCATATCTGAGAAATTGCTGCCTAATCGAGGTAATTTAACTTTTAATAACAGTTGTTGGATAACACAATGTTCTAAGGGGGTTCTTTTTTTTTTTTTTTTTTTTTTTTGAGACAGAGTTTCACTCTTGTTACCCAGGCTGGAGTGCAATGGCGCAATCTCGGCTCACCGCAACCTCCATCTCCTGGGTTCAGGCAATTCTCCTGCCTCAGCCTCCTACTAAGGGGGTTCCTAAGTAAAAGGTCCACATACTGCAGTCTGGATTCTAATCCCGACATACCACTAAAACTGTTCTTGCTCATTTTGTTAGAAAAGCAGCTGTTTTTAAATTTATCTGCACGAGTCGCAAATAGGTACAATAGATACTCAAATACTGACCTAAATTTCCAACCATCATAACTGTTGTACCTGTGGTAATTCATCTGCACGGGTACTATCAACAACCAATTTCTACATAAAACCAGGAATTACGTGAACTGCTTATCTGATTCCATAGTATCTTTTTTAAAAAGAAGCTTATTGATCTATAATTGACATACCACAAAATTCATGTTTCAAGTGCACAATTCAACAATTTTTAGTAAATTCCCCAAATTGTGCAGCCATCCCCATTTAAAAATTGTGGTAGACCTAATACCTTTTAAAAAAGCTAATATTATTAAACTATTTCAATATGACATATATACAGTATTTTGAGAAAAATAAGCAAAATATTTCAAGATACAGTTTAGCACTTTTTTCCGTTATCCATCACTTTTGTGATCCAGTTTTCCTTAACTTCCGTTTATGCAGCCAGCTGTCTGTCTTCCCTGTTTGTTCCACAGTTGTACACAGAAAACAGAAGTCAAGTTCAACAGCTTCCTATCAACTGTTTATCTTTCTGCAGTGATGAACTGTCACTTCTGCTAACAGACTGTCCTTTTAATAGCCACTTAACAAACTATACATATGTATGTTATTATTATTATTTTTTTGAGATGGAGTTTCGCTCTTGTTGCCCAGGCTGGAGTGCAATGGTGTGATCTTGGCTCACTGCAACCTCCACCTCCTGGGTCCAAGTGGTACTCCTGCTTCAGCCTCCCAAGTAGCTAGGATTATAGGCATGCACCACCATACCTGACTACTTTTGTATTTTTAGTAGAGATGGGCTTTCTCCATGTTGGTCAGGCTACTCTTGAACTCATGACCTCAAGTGATCCACCTGCCTTGGTCTCCCAAAGTGCTGGGATTACAGGCATGAGACTATCATGCCTGGCTCTCAACCTGTATTTTTTAAAAGCCGTTAATTTTTCTTTCCACTACCTCCACTGTTTTTTTGTTTGTTTGTTTTGTTTTTTACAGGGTCTTGCTCTGTTGTCCACGTTGAAGTGCAGTAGTGTGATAGCTCACTGCAGGCTTGACCTCCTGGGCTCAAGCAATCCTCCCACCTCAGCCTCCCGAGTAGCTGAGATCACAGGCATGCACCACCACGCCCAGCATGGTGGTGGGTGACTGTAATCCCAGCTACTCGGGAGACTGATGCATGAGAATCACTTGAACCTGGGAGGTGAAGGTCAGTGAGCCAAGATCACTCCACTGCACTCCAGTCTGGGGACAGAGTGAGATTCTGTCTTAAAAAAACAAACAAACGAAAAAAAGCTCCTCAGTCAAGCTCTTGCTTATCTAAGTCCAGCCAATCAGTAACAAAAGACCCAAGAAACTATAACCACTATAACTATAAGCTCCTATCTCAGGGGGCTAGGGACTTCCCTGGAGCCCCAAATGTGCAGTTAGATTTAAACTCCAACCTAGAGTTACCCCTTCTTCATTTTAATGCTAAAAATCACACTGGGATGGAGAATTAGAATGCTAATGCTACATAGAATGTTTGAAGAAGCTTGTTAGGCCACTGTGCAAGCCCTAGAAAAACCCTCCTACACATGCCTTAATGTAAACTTTCCTCATAGAAAATCTTTATAAAACTAACCCACACACTGCTGCCCTCAAGGAGCAGCCCGTTCTTTTCTTCTTCAGTGCTGGCTTCCTTGTGCACAAGCCAAAATGAACTTTCTCTTTGCTGCTGTATCTGGTGATCTCTTTTGATTTCTATCCTGGGAGATTACAAGAACGCAGGATGCTGGTAACATTTTGATCCACAAACAGGAGGTTTTGATGCCATTGATGGAACGCTGTCCTGCTCTTAAGCCGGGGGGTCTTTAGCCACTTCAGCTAGGGCTTTGTACCAAATGTCACTCCCCCAGTTAATCATGGCCACACCTTGCCCTGGAAGTCCCTCACATTGCCCTCCATGGGCTCACCCTGGGTCTTTCTGACAGCAAGACAAAAACACAGGAACCAAACAGCCTTCCCTGATGATAGAGGGGTTGGGGAGGTGAGAGCTGGGAGTGTGACTACACAGACTCAGCACTGGTGAGCCCCTGGGGACCTTCTGTCTTCTCCTCTTCACTCGGAAGAGCCCATGGGATGCTGTTTTCTAGGTACTCCATCAGCACCACACAGAGAGATCAACCTCCAGCGGTCATTAGTGACAAAGATGCTGCTATCCTAACCCAATGCCATATGTGTTACTGGTTTCAGAGATCTGCATCCCCATAAGGAAGCCTTACTCCTGAGACTCCAAGACTTGGGAACATCACTCTTGGTATTCTCCCGTTCTCTATTGCTCCAAAACTCTTCACATGGAACATAATGGTAAATATCACTTCAGTAACACCTGCTGAGGCTGAGATACCATGACCACTCAGGGTTAAGTCACACAAGGCACCTGCTCCACCATGTCTTGGTCCACGCCACTTGGGGCCACAGACAGGATCAGGTCCACCTCCCAGATGGAGAGAAGGATGAGTGGAGGCAGACTTCCAGAGGCAGCATCACAAAGCCAGTGGTTTCCAGATACCAGGGTTTTGTCTCCACAGCATCTATGACTTATGAAGACTCCAGAATTTTCTTTTTGGGGAGGTTACTACTAAGAAACCTGTCCACCGGCCAGGCATGATGGCTCACGCTTGTAATCCCAGCACTTTGGAAGGCCGAGGCAGGCAGATCACCTGTGGTCGTGAGTTCAAGACCAGCCTGTTCAACATGGAGAAACCCTGTGTCTACTAAAAATACAAAATTAGCTGGATGTGGTGGCATGCACCTGTAATCCCAGCTACTCGAGTGGTTGAGGCAGGAGAATCACTTGAACCTGGGAGGTGGAGATTGTGGTGAGCCGAGATCATGCCACTACACTCCAGCCTGGGTGACAAGAGCAAAACTCTGTCTCAAAAAAAGAAACCTGTCCATCATCAGACCCTGGCTGGGGCAGGCCTAGCTCCTCACTAATGCAGCCTGTACAGAGGACTGGAGAAGTGTGGCTTCAAGTTAACTAGGGCACAACTTCTCACACTGAATCTGCATCCCGGCAAAACTAGTGCTGAGCTGGACCAGCAAGTGGCTCCCTCCATACATACCAGACCCAAGGGATTGCTAGGTCCTCCTGGGTATCAGGCACAGTGCCTGCACTTTAGCGCATGTTTCCCTCCGATGGTTTCCAAAGTCAAAGTTGCCTTCCAGCTTATGGAGACACCACTTTGCCTCCTCTCTCATCATGATCCATCCTGAATCCCTTATTGTAGTGGATGATTCTCAACAAAGCAGTCAGAGCCTTCTGCCCTAAGAGACCCTGAATTCTGCCTTCACACTCCTGTATATCTGATTGTCCAGCTAATCAGAATTACCCACATGGCATAGAAATAATGTCTTACCATTAACCTCTGGGTTGAGCTCTTACTTGCCGTCATGGGGGAGGAAGAGGAGAAGAATGAAGCTGAATATAAGTATCTCTGGAAATAGAACCTGAGAGAATGGGAGGGTCATGCTTCTTCTCCAGGGGCCTCTCATCAGCCAGGAACTGCAGAAGCAGGTCTCCTGAGCTTAGGAGCAGTTACTCACCTACACTCCACCGGGGCTCCTGGTTGCTGCTTCTGCTCCTGGGGCATTGTAGATTCTACCTGGTCATGCCAGAGTTAGAAGTCCTGGAGCCAGTGTATTATGGGCAACATGGAATGACCTGCAAAGTCTGCACCCTTGCAGAGGTCATCTGGGGAAGCTCTAAGTCCATCTGTGACCCTAGCTCTCACTGTTCGTGGGGCTGGTGAGGTGTGAATTCAAGAGAACAGGACTAAGCTAGGCACTGGGGGTACAATCGATGAGACACAGTTACTGGTCTCAAGGAGGCTCCAGACAAGTGAATAAGTGATTATTACCCCATCTGGGGCTATGCACAACTTCTCAGAGAGGCCACTTTCCCTCTTTCCTGGGTCCCCAGAATCCGGAATCCCACTGTTTCCCTCTGTGGCTCAAAATCTTGCTTGAAACCCTTCTGACTCTACAGTCTGCTGACTGTGCATGCCATGGTTCTTCCTCATGGGCGTCCTTGCCCAGGACAGTAGCATAGCTTATACAACATACATTGCTTTGCTCAGGCAGAAGTGGTAGGTCTGCATGTCTTGCATTTTGAGGGCTCCATTACTGGCAAGTCCCAATTCCCCTGGGCACCAGGGACCCCCTGCAACCCCATGCCATAGCTCTATACTCCCCAAGCAGCCCCACCTTCCCTAGCAGTCACCCTCCGTTCCTTCTGGCCACTCTCAGGGTCTTCCATGTGAGACCCACCCTAGGCCCTGGCTCAGGCTGTCCTGCCTGCTGAGACCTCCCTGTTCTTCCCCATCTCACCACTGCTTCTTAAACCCCTGCTCGCCCAACACGGCCCTCTATGAAGGCCACTGCATCGCTCCTATCCATGATTGATAGCATGACATCCACCCCCTCCAACACCAAACCGGAGACCAGATGCTCATCCTTGACATCCCCAATCTAATTATTAACCAGTTAATCCTGATTCTGACTCTACCTCTTGAATCTCTAGGTAATAACTCTTTTACTGTCCCCCATCCTTCCTCCCCAAGAACACTGCCCTCTGGGTTCAGACAGTCCTATGTTTGCACTCTGTTTCTGCCACGTCCTAGAAGTATGGCTTCAGGAAAATCATCTCTCTAGGCCTCACTTTCATGGACCGTCAAACAGCTTTATTAACAGTGTCTACTTCATAAGGTTGGCATTTAGATGAAATAACATAATGTACTTTATGCATAGTATGTGGCTTAAAGTAAGTCCTCAATAAGTGTTAGCTGCTCTGATTGTTTTGTTCTTACCATCATTATCATTATTTGACCTTAGCATCTCCCACCTGGACTAGAAGGCTTCTACCTGGTCACTCATGGAGAGTGAGGACAAGGGATGGAAAATGAAGGCTTACAGTTGCCACAGCAGTGTGGAATCATCCGTGGCCACTGTGGGAATATCTGTCCCTTGAAAACAGCTGATGATGATAGAAGGCACTAAAGCAGAACAGCCTCACAATGGCACAGACACCAGCTATGAGATCATTCCTCTCCCTATAGCAAGTTTCCAAGGGGCCCAGGCAGAGATGTTGTATTCTAGGGATGGAGGTCCCTTGGAGAGCATCTAACTCAACTTCCTGATTTTATTCAGGATGTCATAGGATGTTTAAAAAAAAATTCCTGATTTCAGGATGGCAAAATGAGTTCCTGTGAGGATAAAGTGCTTGCTTATAGCCAATTTTCTTGTACAAAAATTTATCGGGGCTACTCTGTATTTAGCCCTGTGCTTGAATCCAAGCTCTTCACCTGACACACAACCAGTCAGGTGAAGAGCTTGGATTCAAACCCAGGTTTCCACTAAATCACGCTATCTGCAGACAGAGGAGCAGCCCACTAAAAATAATGCTTACATTCCCATGTGCCACCCGAAGGGAGATAGCCAGGATTCGGTATGACCAATAAATCATGAGAAATTCTTTTAACTAGAAGCTAGAATGTGAAGCACAAGTTGAACTGTCAGAAAAACACAAGAAGACTGGAAAACACTTAGTGCAAATACAGATAAGAACACATGTTTTCAGGCTGGCACTTGCCCTTTGAACATACACACAAACTGGTCTCAACACAAACTGGCTCAGTGTCAAAGTAGGAATTTTGCTACATACCCTCCAGTTAACACTCACTTTTTTCCTCAACACTTTGACTCTTTCTTAGCAGAATCAGAATTTGGGGAGAAAGGAACACTGACAATAAATTATCATTTTATAAATGGTGAAACTAAAGCTTAGAGAAGTAAAGTGGTAAGTCACAGTCCATTATGAATGTTTTGGCTGGATAGCCTTGCCTCTTTGCCATATGGCAGTACTTAAAAAAAGAAAAAAGATGTTTGCCGGAGGCTTATATGGGAGGTGCGTCCCTGCGCATTACTTAGAAAAGTCTCCCCAGAATGTTTTTTTTTTTTTCTTTCTTTTTTAGAGACAGGGTCTAGCTATGTCACCCAGACTAATCTTGAACTCTTGGGCTCAAGCAATCTGCCACCTCACTTGGTTTGTTTATTAACCATTTATTGTTCATGAGCACATCTACGGAATCTACTGAACCCTGTGAATTCTCTTCCCAGAAGTGATCCCATAAGGGCAGGAACATAATTTTGTGTATAATTTTAGCTCATCCATGCAGTCCTTGGTAATTCCTGAGCTACATAGAAAGAAAACTCACCTTAAAGTGTTACGGTGATATGAAATGATTCAAATCAGCTTTATAGACACTGCCCAAACCTGAAAACTTTCTACAGGAGGAGGCTGTATGCATAACAAGTGAAAAACAATTACAATGCTGTTTTTCAGTATTTGAATGAAAGCATGAAGTAATTATTTGTCAGTATGTACATGCAGATTAAATAAAATGTATTTACAACATAATACTATAGCCAGATGATATTCAACACCTAGATTTCCAAACTGTTCTAGCAAATGGGTCTAACAAATGGGCCCTTGCATTACAGATATCCTAAAGATACACTGCAAGAATCACAAGCCCCTCTCTACCTTCATCAGAGCCACTCCCATCCTGTCCCAACATCATGTTCAGTTAATGCGAATTCTTACTTGAAGAAGGCACAGAAAACATTTGCACTGTTTATTGTAATTTAAACATCTGCAATTTACCATGATATCTCTTCCCACCTAAAGGAAAGATATTACATTAATATTGGAGCAGTAAGCTTGAGTTTCTATTAATATAATTTGCATTGGAGTTTCTAATAATATAATTTGCATTAGAAGAATATGATTACCCCAGAACTTGCCTGCTAGGCATCCATAAATGCTGCTTTTAACTCAGAGGACCTGGAGTTCTGCTAGAAAATTGAATCTGTATTCAGCAGGCTTTCCTTCCTGGTGACCTCTGCATGCCCCACAGGCTATCCCTGCCTGTTATACACCAGAGTTCCGCAAGTGGGGCACCGAGGCTGGATGGTAACATGAGCTGGCTCCAGGCCGCAAATAGCAACAGGCCTGCCATGAGTGAAGGTCCAAATATAGACCTGCTGTGGCTGAGCTGCCACTTCTTACTACTCAAGTGTCACCAGGAGAGGTCACATGCTGTGCTCTGAGTTACTTCCTTAGCTGTGGGGGGTTTGAGACTCGTGGCTCTACTATGGGTCTCAGATGGCTGGTTATGTGGTGATGGGTGACAGGTGTCACAGCAAGGCCAGGAAGGAGATTCTTGAGAGCCCTTGAGGGGCGTGCCTTCCACCAGGGCTTTCCCAGGGTCTTCGTCCAAAGTATTCTGGTAAGTCCCACTCTGAAGGCAATCGAATGCAACTTTACCTTTCCCTCCCAACTTTCCTTTAGTGTACTCCAGGTGGGAATTATTCCCCTCTTTGGATGAAAATCCAGCAGACCCAATGACTTTCCTCTTCCTCTTAGGTGACACACAGTTTTAAAAACACTTGAATTCAGCATCTCAAATTCAGGAATTGAATGTCCTGTTCAATACATTAATCAAGCCAAACGTGGTTTCGCTAGAGTCAAATCTTCTCCCTTCCCAGAGTGGGCCTCTTTAGCAGGAAGCCTGCACTGGGAAAAGAAACGTGGGGTTGGCCTCTCCTCCTCAGGTCCTCCTGGAGCTGCTGGTTTAGAAGCCAGGGCGGGAGGGCTGAAGCCATAAGATGTCTCCTATTTGAGTAGACATCACAGTGGGTACTGACCTCAGGCTCTCTAGAGTATGCTTAGCTCTGACTCTCATGGGGAATCTCTGGAGATTCCCATTATGGTGCCAGGATTCTCATCATTTGATTTGCCCTGCTTGATTGAAGCTATTCCCATCACTGGAGCATGGGAGTTTGAGACCAGCCTTGGCAACATGGTGAAACCCCCATAGCCACAAATAAAAACTTAGCCAGACATGTTGGTGCATGACTGTAGTCCCAGCTGCTTGGGAGGCTGAGGAGAGAGGATTGATTGAGCCTGAGAGGTCGAGGCTGCAGTGAGCCCTGATGACGCCACTGCAATTCAGCTTGGTGACAGAGCAAGACCCTGTCTCAAAAATTAAAAATAATCATGTGGAGCTAGCTACGGCAGTTCATGACTGTAGTCCCAGCTGCTTGAGAGGCTAAGGCAGGAGGACCACTTGAGCCTAGTAGTTTGAGGCTGCAGTGAGCTGTGATTGTGTCATTGTCACTCCAGTCTGGTGACAGAGACCCTGCCTCTTAAAAAACATAATAATACTAATGATAATGTGGATGCCTGTTTTGTAAGTGTAGAAAATGCCATAAGATATTTTTAAGTGGGCTGTGCCTGTAAAGCTGATTTGAACTCCTTCATATCACTGCATAGCTAATGCCTTAAAGCAAGTTTTCTTTATCTATGGCTCAGGAATTGCCAGGGGCTACATGAATGAGTTTCTAAAACTATATGTAAAATTATGTTTGTGGTTTTTATTTTTTTTTTTTGAGATGGAGTTTCACTCTTGTTACCCAGGCTGGAGTGCAATGGCGCGATCTCAGCTCACTGCAACCTCCGCCTCCTGGGTTCAGGCAATTCTCCTGCCTCAGCCTCCTGAGTAGCTGGGATTACAGGCACGCGCCACCATGCCCAGCTAATTTTTTTTGTATTTTTAGTAGAGTTGGGGTTTCACCATGTTAACCAGGATGGTCTCGATCTCTTGACCTTGTGATCCACCCGCCTTGGCCTCCCAAAGTGCTGGGATTACAGGCTTGAGCCACCGTGCCCGGCCCTATGTTTGTGTTTTTATGGAATCACTTCTGGGAAGAGAACTCACAGGTTTCAGTAGATTCCCAGAGGTGCTCATGAAACATAAAAAGTTGAAAAACATGTCAGGGGGGACTCTTCCAATTAAAGCACAGGACATACTTTCCGTATAAGCCTTAAGCAAACATTTTTTTAAAACATTGCCACAGTATGACATAGAGATGGGACTGTCCAGCCAATATATTCATTATGGACTGTGACTGATTATTCACTTTAGTTTCATCATTTGTAAAATGACAATTTATTATCAATGTTTCTTTCTCCCCAAATTCTGATTCTGTTAAGAAATGGAAAGCATCTAGGTGTTGAGGAAAAAAATGAGTGTTAACTGCGGAGTGTGTTGCAAATTCCTACTTTGATGCTGAGCCCACAGACCAGTATATTAACATATTAACTGTATAATCTCTGTGTGTGTGTGTGTGTGTGTGTGTAGAGTCATAGAGTTGTTCAGAGAAACAAAACCAATAGAATGTATACATCTATGGAAGCAGATTTATTGTAAGGAATTGACTCATGTAATTATGAAGACCAAAAAGTCCCAAGATCTGCGGTTAGCAAGCGGAAGATCCAATAGAGCCACGGGTGTGGTTCTAGTCCAAAGGCCAGCAGACTGAATACCCTGGAGAGCTAATGTCTCCGTCTGAGTTGGAAGGCAGGGAAAAACCCATATTCCCACTTGAAGGCAGTTAGGCAGGAAGAATTCCCTGTTACTCAAGCTTTTTGTTCTATTCAGACCTTCAATTGATTGCATGAGGCCCACTCACACTAGAGAGGGCAACCAGCTTTACTCAGTCTACTGACTCAAAGGTTAACCTCATCCAGAAACACCATCTGTCTCACACACACACACACACACACACGCACATGCACACGCAGAGAATAATGTTTGACCAAATACCTGGGCATCCTGGTGGCCCAATCAAGTTGACACATAAAATTAATCATCATACATATACATTCATATACTATAGATAGTTTATATTCCCCCAAAATTCTCATGTTGAAACCAAATCCCAACATGATGATATTTGGAAATGTGGCCTTTGGGAGGTGATTTGGTCATGAAGGCAAGCCCTCATGAATAAAATTAGTGCCATTACACTGGCGGTCCCTGAGAGCTGTGCCATGTGAAGATGCAGTAAGAATACAGGTATCAGCCAGGCGCGGTGGCTTATGCCTGTAATCCTAGCACTTTGGGAGGCCAAGGTGGGTGGATTACCTGAGGTTGGGAGTTTAAGACCAGCCTGACCAAGATGGAGAAACCCTATCTTTACTAAAAATACAAAATTAGTGGGGCATGATGGTGTGCACGTGTAATCCAGCTACTCGGAAGGCTGAGGCAGGAGAATTGCTTCTGAGAGGCGGAGATGAACTGAGATTGTGCCCTTGTGCTCCAGCCTGGGCAACAAGAATGAAACTCCAACTCTAAAAGAAAAAACAAAAAAACAATACAAGTATCTGTGAACCAAGAAGCAGGCCCTTTCCAGACACTGAATCTGCTGGTGCTTTAATCTTGGATTTTCCAGCCTCCAGAACTATGAGAAATAAATGTTTGTTGTTCATAAGCCACCCAGTCTATGGTATTCTCTCCTAGCAGCCTGAATGGACTAAGGCATATATTAATATATATAGAGAGGAGACTTTTTTTCTTTCTTTTTTTTTTTTTTTTTTGAGACAGAAGAGTCTCACTGTTTCACTCAGGCTGGTGCTGTGGCACAATCTCGGCTCACTGTAACCTCTGTCTCCTGGGTTCAAGCAATTCTTCTGCCTCAGCCTCCTTAGTAGGTGGAAGTATAGGGCATGCAGCATGCCTGGATAATTTGTGTGTGTGTGTGTGTGTATTTTTAGTAGAGACAGTTTGGGCATGTTGGCCAGGCTAGTCTCGAACCGCTGACCTCAAGTGATCTTCCCACAGCTTCCAACAGTGCTGGGATTACAGATGTGATCCACTGCACCCAGCCACCCACTACATTTTCATAATTAGAAAGACTGACAGTTTCCTCTTGAAAAACAAATAGATTAGAAAACGAGTAGAAGTGGTTACAAAGTATAAAACAGTAAAATGGCCGGGCGCGGTGGCTCAAGCCTGTAATCCCAGCACTTTGGGAGGCCGAGGCGGGTGGATCACGAGGTCAAGAGATCGAGACCATCCTGGTCAACATGGTGAAACCCAGTCTCTACTAAAAATACAAAAATTAGCTGGGCATGGTGGTGCACGCCTGTAGTCCCAGCTACTTGGGAGGCTGAGGCAGGAGAATTGCTTGAACCCAGGAGACGGAGGTTGCGGTGAGCCGAGATCGCGCCATTGCACTCCAGCCTGGATAACAAGAGTGAAACTCCGTCTCAAAAACAAAACAAAACAAAAAAACAGTAAAATGATACAATGTGAGGAATATACAAGAAAGATATTTAAAACAGACTTTTTGTTTGCTTGTTTGTTTGAGACAGAGTTTTACTCTGTTGCCCAGGCTACAGTGCAGTGGCACGATCTCGGCTCACTGCAGACTCCGCCTCCTGGGCTCCCGCGATTCTCCTGCTTCTTGTTTACCCCTGGGGATAACAGCAAGTACAAAATCTGATTCCAAAATCTGGGCTGTGTTTCTCAGTTGACACTGTACATTGCCCAGGCAGAGACGAGGGCCGTCTTGGTCCTTATTGCATGAACAGCTCCAGCTCCACCCTGACATGGAAACTGGATTTCCTGATATCTCCTTAAACAGGCCTTCAGTAGCCAGGTGGTCATGTTGAGCCTGAGTTTTGGTGTATCTTAAGTTTGTCTGGGCCTCTGTTTCCTTAACTCTAAAGTTGTTGAGAAATGTTAAGTTTATGAATATTGATGTTGAGAAATGTTGTTTATGAATATTGATGAATGCTGAGTGTATGACAGAATATATTGTTTGCTAGGAAGAACGATGGCAAGGAAAACCAACGGCCCACCTAGCCAAGTAGAAAACTACTTGGGGCATTCTAAAGTGTCAGGACAATGGATAAATACCACACTCCGGTTAAAACAATTCTTTAAGATAGCTGACCCTGCCCCCGTGGCTCCCTCGTGGAGAATACTTTTTAGGTTGTTTGTGATCAGTAGAAAGCGGGCACTTAGCGTGTTTTGTGTTATGAGAAAACACAGAACACCTGTTTGTTAATAGTGATCACCTGTTCAGGGAGACTAAATGCATGGGTCAGCGTCTACTCCGGGCCTTCAGTTCGGAATGCTGTCGGCCCTTGAGGCTCTCAGCTCAGAAGGCTGTTGGCCCCCGCCCCCGCCCCCGCCCCCATAGGCCCGCTTTGCTGTTCTCTCTGGGTGCTGCCTCTTAGTTCCTTCAGCACCGCCTGGGTGGGGGGCTCTATGGCCGAGCTGGTACTTGGTATAAAGTGAAGAGTTGGAATGCAGATTGTATTTAAACACACTAGCTGGGAGTTGTGGTGCCCTGAATTCTCCCTCTTACACATCCTCTCAATACTGGCACACAGGCGACACTCAGTAAAAGTTTGCTGAGTTGACAAAAGTAAATTTGTGGCTTCTGTCCAGTACTTGGCACTTAGAAGCCCTCAATAAATGACTATCAAGTTTGTTTCATCTCCCCAGCACATTTGTGACATTCTTGAGGGCGGGAACCATGTACTCAATAGGGCCCTGATGACAAGAGGAAATCGGCTTGGTCGCTGTTCATAGAAGTTCATAGTTTAGTGTGGGAGACTAACATAATAACTCGCCCATTTAAAGATATTTTTCCAACGTCCGCATGTATTGGGTGGAAAAGGTGAGGCAAGAGTTGTATTTCCCGGACTCCGGACCTGGTTGCGAGATGATTGACGTCCGAGGGAGACCTTCTCACCTTTTCATTGGTTGTCGCTGACCCTCCCTTCTATCACCCAGCCAATCCTGGACGGACGCCTCACTTAAGCCCCGCCTCCGGAAGCCAGCCAATCAGAAGTGCCAGGGGCCGGGGCGCTGCGGGTACACTGACGCGGTTACGATTCCAGCGAAAATGCCTCAGCTCGGACTGTCTCGTGACAGAGGGTACGAGGAGGACAGCCCCGCGCCCGCCGAACCCTAGAGCCGCTGCCGCCGACTGTCATGGAGGACGAGCAGCCTGACAGCCTGGAGGGCTGGGTGCCGGTCCGGGAGGGCCTTTTCGCCGAGCCCGAGCGGCACCGGCTGCGCTTCCTGGTGGCCTGGAACGGCGCGGAGGGCAAGTTCGCTGTGACTTGTCACGACCGCACCGCGCAGCGGCGGTGGCGGCGCGAGGGGGCCCAGCCCGAGCCCGAGCCCGAGCCCGAGGCCGCCGTGTCTCCGCCAAGCTGGGCCGGCCTGCTGTCGGCCGCGGCGTTCCGCGGCGCTCACCGGCAGCTGGTGGCGCTATGGCCGCCTCTAGAGCGCTGCTTCCCGCGGCTGCCACCGGAGCTGGACGTAGGCGGCGGCGGCGGCGGGGCCTGGGGCCTGGGGCTCGGGCTGTGGGCGCTGCTGTGGCCGGCGCGCGCGGACCCCGGAGAGGCGGCGCTGCGGGAGTTGTGCGGACAGCTGGAGCGCTACCTGGGCGCGGCGGCAGACGGCTGCGGTGGCGCCACCGTGCGCGACGCGCTCTTCCCGGCTGAGGGCGGCGCGGCCGACTGCGAGAGCCTGCGCGAGTTCCGGGAGCGGGCCCTGCGCGCGCGGTGGGCCGAGGCGGACGCGCGGCTGCGCCAGGTAAGCGAGGCCGGGCCTAGTCCGCGCTTCCTAGGCTTGGGGCCCTGTAGGAGGCTCCCGCGCGGCGGGAGCTCCAGGAGGGGCCTGCGGAGAGGACGAGCGAAGTTAGAGCCTAGTGTACTTGCAGCTGGGAGCTGGGCTAGGCTCCCAACCTTTGCCCTGGAGATGCTGGCAGAGCAGGGCGTTGTAACGGGAAATGCCAGAAACACTGCAAGCAAAACTGTAAACGACCCATCCACGTAGGAAAGAATAACACGGACTAAATGTAAGCAATTCCAAGTCTGTGAATGAGGGAACATCACAAACGGGATAAAATGGTTTAACGGAAGAAAGGGCTCTTAGGAGATAGGGTGTGGTGTTTAAGTAGTAAAGACGTGGTCAAATGGAAAGCCGGCAGAAAGTGAACTTTGGTCATCAGTTTGGAATAACCGCAGGAGTGCTCTTTGAAGCTTGAAAGAGGTAGTTTGAGAAGGAGTTATTGAACACCTACTGATCCTAAGGGGAGGAGGAAGTACAAGTTCATAGAAGAGTTTAGGAGAAAATATACCTTCTAAATCACACCCACAGTTTACTAAGGAGAGCCAGGCTGGTGTGCAGTGGCACGATCTTGGCTTACTGCTGTTATTAACCTGAAAGATTTTTTTCTGTGCATTATTTTAAGGAAGGGGAGGTGAAGAGTTCAGCTACATTTCAAAATCTTAATTATATCCTCCTAACTAAATATAGAATAAGCTTTCTAAATTAAAATGGTTTTATAAAAGGAGCTCGTTGGTGGGGTCATTTTTGTGCTGTGGGTTTGTTTTTTTTTAAAACTGGGTTTTATGTGTAAATATCTACAACCCACTTCTCGCGTTGATTTCACTATAGAATATGAGGAAACTACAGGGGAGTTTCAGGGCAGTCAGCTTTTGATCTTCAACTTTATCATTTTCATCTTAAGATACAGGAAACCACAGGGGGTTTCAAAAATGATATTATTTTGTATCAAACTTTTTTACACACTTCGTTACTCACAGAGATAGGTGGTTTCTCCTTAAAATCGAACATTTATATGATGTATTTACTGTAGTTACTATCAGAAAAGTTATAGTTTTCCAAAATTTAAGTTCACTCTGAGGTACTGTAGCACGAATGTAGTTCATACTGTTGAGGTAGCTGTTCACATTAGAGTAGTTCACTTATTATTATTATTTTTTTGAGACGGAGTCTTGTTTTGTCGCCAGGCGCCAGGCTGGAGTGCAGTGGCGCTATCTCCGCTCACTGCAACCTCCGCTTCCCGGGTTCAATCAATTCTTCTGCCTCAGCCTCCCGAATAGCTGGGACTACAGACGCGCGCCACCACACCCAGCTAATTTTTTTAAAAAAATATTTTATTAGAGACGGGGTTTCACTGTGTTGGCCAGGATGGTCTTGATCGCCTGACCTCGTGATCTGCCGGCCTCGGCCTCCCAAAGTGCTGGGATTACAGGCGTGAGCAACCGCACCCCGCGAGTAGTTCACTTACTTAACTGGAACTTAAAAATGGGGATTGGGGCCGGGCGCGGTGGCTCAAGCCTGTAATCCCAGCACTTTGGGAGGCCGAGGCGGGTGGATCACAAGGTCGAGAGATCGAGACCAACCTGGTCAACATGGTGAAACCCCGTCTCTACTAAAAATACAAAAAATTAGCTGGGCATGGTGGCGCGTGCCTATAATCCCAGCTACTCAGGAGGCTGAGGCAGGAGAATTGCCTGAACCCAGGAGGCGGAGGTTGCGGTGAGCCGAGATCGTGCCATTGCACTCCAGACTGGGTAACAAGAGTGAAACTCCGTCTCAAAAAAAAAAAAAGAAAAAAGAAAAAAAAAAATGGGGGATTGGGAGGGGAAGCTTAAATTCAAATCATGTTCAAGTAATTTTAACATTTACTTTATATTTAGAATAGAAAAGCAATTGATTCTAGAATTAGAACAATTGCTAGCGTCACTAGAATATATAAAATGAAGCTGAATGTTTTAACTCTGGAATTTTTCTGGATAGTCTAAGACATAAGGTTGAAATGTATCACTTGCCTTAAGTTTATTTTGCATGTGTGTTTTAATTTTGTTCAGTGAGGCTGCCATTTAAAAAAAAAAAAAACATAATATTACCTGGATAAAAAAACTACAGCTGAAAGTAGATCACTTTATCGTGAATCAGAAGGATGGAAATAGAATTTAAGAATGTATTGGTTGGAAAAAAAAATTGTATTGATTTCTCCTCTTGGGGGAGTAAGATAATTTCCTACCAAATGAGTCCACCTAGCTTATACACTCAGTTTATTTTCCACCTTGCTTCAGAAGCAGTAGCCAGCAGAGACTGGAACCACAGTTGAGGCTCTGTAAATGAGTTGACTGCTAAGGGCTTTGTGGGAATATTAACCTGGGGCATTAAAAGAACCAATATGCTGAAGTATTCGGAGACAACTCTGGAATGTTTTATGAGCTTTTAAAAAAGGAATACAGCCTTGTAAAACCTTTACAGTAAGAAAAGTCAAACGAAAAAATATCCACAACCCCAAACCTTCTATTGGGTCCTTTTGTCTGCATACTTAGTGCATAGTTGAGATTAAATTTTGCATTCTGCCTCTCCCATTTAGTATTATAAAAGTCTCCATATATATATATATAATATATATATAATATATATATATTATATATATATATATATTTTTTTGAAATGGAGTTCCACTCTTGTTGCCCAGGCTAGAGTGCAATGGCACTATCTCTGCTCACCGTAATCTCTGCTTCCTGGGTTCAAGCAATTCTCCTGCCTCAGCTTCCCAAGTAGCTGGGATTACAGGCATGTGCCACCACACCCAGTGAATTTTGTATTTTCAGTAGAGATGGGGTTTCTGCATGTTGGTCATGCTTGCCTCGAACTCCCAAACTCAGGTGATCTGCTTGCCTCGGTCTCCCAAAGTGCTGGGATTACAGGCATGAGCCACTGCACCTAGCCAGAAGTCTCCATATTATTGAACAATCTTCCAAAGCACAGTGCTGAATGACTACAGTAATAATAATCTGCCATGGATAATTTACTTAACCATTCTTGTTTTATTGGGCATATTTGATGGAGGATAACATTTTAATATTTAATATTTCAAAGTAATGTATTAAAAGTAAAGAACATGAAGGTTTGTTGGGTATGTCTGATCTTAAATGTATGAGCTTTATTCACATTTGCTTTCTAGGTTCTTCAAGGACACACACAAGCCAACACCATGGTAGCATTAATGAAAGTTTACCAAGAGGAAGATGAAGCGTACCAGGAATTAGTTACTGTGGCAACCACGTTCTTCCAATATTTATTGCAGCCATTGAGGGCTATGCGAGAAGTTGCAACTTTATGTAAGCTTGATATTTTGGTATGTGTTTTTTTTTAAAATCAGATTTATCATTTGTCATATGTCCTTAGTTACACATACTGTTCAATCTCTGTACTTTGTTGGGTTCACCCTTATGTTTATTTACTTATTATTGAGAGAGATGAGGTTTTGCCATTTTGCTCAGGCTGGTCTCAAACTCCGGAGCTCAAGCAGTTTGTTTTCTTTAGCCTCCCAAAGTGCTAGAATTACAGGCGTGAGCCACTATGCTCAGTTCACCCTATGTTTAAATATTGAATTTATATTTTAAACTGATAGAAAATGAAGACATTTATGTTGGTCATCTTCTCAAGATTCCTACAGATTTGAAAGAGTTAAATGTTTTTTCTGCCAATGAATTTCTTTTTTTGGAGACAAGGTCTCCCTCTGTCAGCTAGGCTGGAGTACTGTGGCATGATCTTGGCTCACTGCAACTTCTTTCTCCTTCAAGCAATTCTCCTGCCTCAGCCTCCCAAGTAGCTGTGATTACAGGTGTGCACCACCACAACCAGCCAACTTTTTTTTTTGTATTTTTAGTAGAGACACGGTTTCACCATGTTGGCCAGGCTGGTCTTGAACTCCTGACCTTGTTGGGAACCAGCCCAGCATGTACGTTGGTGTCCTTAGTCCCAGCACTGGCGAGGGATTGAGAAAAGGAATTAAAGACACAAGAGTAGAATTTACAGCATGGGTCCAGGGGACCAATGGTCCCTGAGCTCTGGGCTCCAAACACTTATTACATGTATAGTCTCACTAATCTTGGGAGGGTAAAGAAGTAAGTAAGATAGCGGGGTGGAGAGCACTTGAGAGCCTTCTAAGACATGCTAAACTAGTACTCTGAGTTTATCACCACTCTGAGTTTATTACCGATTGTTACCAGGGTGTGGCTGCATCACCAGGGTGTGGCTGCATCAGAAGCATTGCAGATGAGGAGCCACCGTGTCTGACTAGTCCCAATGCATCAAGGGGCTTTTATCTCCCAGCATTGAGGAGGTAGAGCAATTAAAGTCACTCCATATTCCGAGAACCTAGGCAGATCCTGAGGTGTTCCTTGATCTCTGCCCTGAAAGGCTTTCTCCTTCTTGCCAGCTCCCATCTGAAAAGACCCTCCCAGATTTTGTGGGAGAGGTTGCCTGCCTTCTCAGAGATCTTTGCATAAGCCCTCTTTAGGAGGCCCTTATACAGTCTCCATGTTGAGAAGGCATTTGTGGGACCAGAGCAGCATTCCCTGCTCTGCAGCCACCCCAAGGTGTTCCCCGGTATTACTGCGCTCTTGGATGGTCTTTACCTTAGGCCTCCTGTTGCCGCTTGATTTCTATTAACAGCACCAATAATATAGTTTGGTGTATAAACTTCAGTGTACTCTGAGCCAAACAAGCTTATAATTATTTGGCTAGAATTAGTATAGGTCTCCCCCTGGCCATCTTGACCCACAGACCTCAAGTGATCCACCCACCCCCTCAAGCCTCCCAAAGTGCTGGAACTGTGCCTGATGTGATGAATTGTTTTTGATGTGATGTTTATTTGCTTCAGCTTGTTTTCCTCTAAGGGCTCATACAGATTTTTTTTTTTTTTTGAGACAGAGTTTCACTCTTGTTACCCAGGCTGGAGTGCAATGGCGCGATCTCGGCTCACCGCAACCTCCGACTCCTGGGTTCAGGCAATTCTCCTGCCTCAGCCTCCTGAGTAGCTGGGATTACAGACACGCGCCACCATGCCCAGCTAATTTTTTTTGTATTTTTAGTAGAGACGGGGTTTCACCATGTTGACCAGGATGGTCTCGATCTCTTGACCTCGTGATCCACCCGCCTCGGCCTCCCAAAGTGCTGGGATTACAGGCTTGAGCCACCGCGCCCGGCCAGATTTCTTAAAATAGGATGAAAATTTAAATAGTAGGACCCTAGATTGTAATTCAGTAACTTAAATTTTAGTAAATGCTGTTACTGTTCTTGCTTCATTGAGCCATCAGACAACCTTGTCACACCATTCAGAAAAGGCATTCTTTTTTTTTTTTTTTTTTTTGAGACGGAGTTTCGCTCTTGTTACCCGGGCTGGAGTGCAATGGCGCGATCTCCGCCTCCTGGGCTCAGGCAATTCTCCTGCCTCAGCCTCCTGAGTAGCTGGGATTACAGGCACGCGCCACCATGCTCAGCTAGTTTTTTGTATTTTTAGTAGAGACTGGGTTTCACCATGTTGACCAGGATGGTCTCGATCTCTCGACCTCGTGATCCACCCGCTATTCCAGTGTTACAATGAATCTAGAGTCAAGAGGAGTGAAATAGCGCACCTTGGGTCTCAACAGCTGGAATCGGGAGACACCTAAGAGGTCTCTTGATCTCTGCCTCCTGCACTGGGCCATCTTACCACGTATAATCTCATGACCCCTGCCAGATGATTGTACTGTAAATATGGTATCACATTTAGATGAAACTTATGCCACTCTAACCTGTGGATAAAGTTGTTCTGTTCATTATTTTGAAAGTCTATTATTTGGAGAGTCTACTTCTTGCATATATTTTTCCTTTAAGTAACAGCTGTTTTAAGATAGCATTCACAGACCATATATATACACATACACACACATATATATACATATAAAGTGTATGATTCAGTGATTTTTAGTATATTCAAAGTTGTGCAATGATCATTATGTAATATTGGAACATTTTCAACCCCAAAAGAAACCCTGTACCCATTAGTCACTCCCAGCCTGGGAACCCACCAATCTGCTTTCTGTCTGTGAGGATTTCCCTGCTCTGGACATACTAACAACATGTCTTGAAAACATAGTTAATCCATGTTGTACCAAATATCAGGATTTCATTTCCCTTTATTGCTGAGTAATATTCATCGTATGGATATATCACATTGTGTGTGTGTGTGTTTTGAGATGGAGTCTTGCTTGCCCAGGCTGGAGTGCAGTGGCGCGATCTTGCCTCACTGCAACCTCCGCCTCCCAGGTCAAATGATTACTCTGCCTCAGCCTCCCAAGTAGCTGGGACTACAGGTGTGCACCACACCGCCCGGCTAGCTATATGACATTTTATTCATCAGTTGATGGGCATTTAGGTTGTTTACACTTTTTGGCTATTATGAATAATGCTGCTAAGAATGTTTGTAAGTTTCTGTGTAGACAATGTTTTCAATGCTGTTGTGTATATACTGAGGAGTAGGATTGCTGGGTCATATGATTACTCAATGTTTAACATTTTGAAAGACTGCCAGATGGTTTTTCAAAGCGGGTGCATCATTTTATGATCCCAAAAGCAGTAAATGAGGGTACCAATTTGTCCACATTATCACCAACACTTGTTAGTGTCTATTTTGGTTACAGCCATCCTAGTAGGTATTTTGTTATAGTTTTGATTTGTAATTCCCTGTCGGCTTACACATATTTCTTTTGCTTTGTAGAAGAAAAATTGCATATTGGATGACATAGCAGTACATGTCTTAGTTCAGGCTGCTATAACAAAGTGCCAGAGATAGGGTGGCTTATAAACAACAAAACTCTTTCTCACAGTTCTGGAGGCTGGGAAGCTTCTTGTGAGGGCTAGTTTCTTAATTTGTAGACAGCAGTCTTGCTGTGTCTTCACACGGTGAAGAGCAGAGAGAGAGAGATCTTTTGTCTCCTTTTTATAAGGGCATTAATCCCATTCTTGAGGGCTCTACCCTCATGACCTGATTACCTTCCAAAGGTCTCATCTTCAAATACCATCACACTGGGGACTAAGGCTTCTTGGGATTTTGGGGGGACCCAAACATTCAGTTCAGTGTCAGTACATGTTATTGCATGAATATACAGAAACTACTATCTTTTAGGTGATTATATTACATATCCTTAAAAGAAACCATAACAACAGCTAACACTTAAGTGCTGTTTCAGTCCCTATGCTGAATGCTTGACAACACAGATCACTCATTTAAACAATTGTGTATTAATAATAATAGAAACATAATTTTACAACGTTCGTCTCCAGAAAAGGTTATTCTAGGCGTGCAAAGTGAAAGTAGGTTTTTTTCCTTTATGCCCCAGAGTGTCCTTTTTTGTCTTCCAGGTGGTCCTCAGCTTAGAGCCTTATTCATACTCAGTAAGGGACTGATGAATGAATAAAAATTTGACCAAGTAGTAGTGTAAATTAATCCATGTGACCAATTTCCTTTCAGTTTCCTAATGGGTCACATAACTATTAGCTCTTACTAAGACAAATTTCCCTTCTGTCTGTAGAAGTCCTTGGATGAGGATGACCTAGGTCCTAGAAGGGTAGTTGCCCTGGAGAAAGAAGCCGAAGAATGGACCAGACGGGCTGAAGAAGCTGTCATCTCTATTCAAGATATCACAGTGAATTATTTTAAGGAGACAGTAAAAGCATTAGCAGGTGATAATTTAAAAAATGCTTTATGAAGATACATGTAATTGTCATTTAATTCAAATACCATTTGAGTGCCTCTTAAGCACCAGGCACTGTTTTCTAGGTGCTAAGAATTCGGTGTCAAGCATTAAGAGACATTGTACAGTCTGGTGAAGGGAGAGAAATCTTAATTATTCATTGAAGCACATGGAAAATGGCAGCGACAATAAATGTCACAAGAGAGATATGGGGCTCTGAGAGTCTGAGAGAAACTGGGCTTGATCAGGGTGGTCACTGAAGGCCTCTTAGAAGTGGCGCTTGCCCCAATATCTGAAGAGTAAATAGAAGTTGAGATGACAGAAAAAGTGAGGAGTGTTCCAGGCAGAAGGGGATAGCACTGGCAAAGGTCCCCTGGCTTGAGGGAAGTTGGCAAATAGGAGCTTAAAGATAACCTGCAGGGCTGGATCACAGAGAGTGCAAAATAATATGGTATGATGGAAAATGCTGGCAAGACAGGCAGAGGTCAGACCATGCAGGGGTTTGTGGGCTGGGAGAAGGACTTTATTTTAGTCTTAAATAATTGTTGACAAAAGCAAAGAATAGGAAACAACGTCTGTCAGTTTGTTATGGTTCATTCCTAAAATGGAAAACTACATAGATGTTAAGCATGATTCTTGATTTTTTTTTTTTTTTTTTTTTTTTTTTTTGAGTGTCAAGAGTTTCTAATCTATTGTGCAGAATCAAGATATAAAGCAGAATGATGATCCTGGTTGTTTGGTCAAACTATCCATATAAGCATGTCTGTATAGCTAGATGTAGAAACAATACGGAAGCAAGTGTGCAAGCAATTGCCTCAACTAGGTGAGATCATGACTTACGTCTTTTTAAAAATGGAATACCTAAAATTTTATATCAATGACCATGTATTTCTATAATAAAGTTAATAGAATTTCTTTTAAAAAGGATATTCTGCAGGTGGTATGGAGGCAATAAAAAAGCATTTGCTCATGATAAATGTTTGCCATTTTAATGAGGTGTGATTGTATTTCATTTAAAAATCCAACAGGAATGCAGAAACAAATGGAACAGGATGGGAAGAGATTTGGCCAGGCTGCCTGGGCCACAGCAACTCCCAGGTTGGAAAAACTTAAGCTAATGCTAGCTCGAGAGATTTTGCAACTCATGAGAGCGAAAGAGCTGTGTTTAAATCACAAAAGAGCTGAAATTCAGGGAAAGGTAAGGCAAAGATAAACATAACTTTGTTTTAAAAATACACTTTTGAGGCCAGGCGCGGTGGCTCAAGCCTGTAATCCCAGCACTTTGGGAGGCCGAGGTGGGTGGATCACGAGGTCAAGAGATCGAGACCATCCTGGTCAACATGGTGAAACCCCGTCTCTACTAAAAATACAAAAATTAGCTGGGCATGGTGTTGCGTGCCTGTAATCCCAGCTACTCAGGAGGCTGAGGCAGGAGAATTGCCTGAACTCAGGAGGTGGAGGTTGCGGTGAGCCGAGGTCGTGCCATTGCTTTCCAGCCTGGGTAACAAGAGCGAAACTCCGTCTCAAAAAAAAAAAAATACACTTTGGCTGGTCCGAGTGCAGTGGTATTTGTATTTACAACTAATCAATGACAACCAGTTACAGATTTTGTTCCTTCTCCACTCCCACTGCTTTGCTTGACCAGCCTTTAAAAAAAAAAAATACGCTTTTGTTTTTTAAAAAGTTTTATAAAGGATGCAAGTGCAATTTTGTTCCATGGATATACTGTATAGTGGTGAAGTCTGGGCTTTTAGTGTAATCATCATCTGTATAATGTAATTGTACCCATTAAATATTTCTCACCTCCCCTCTTACTCTTCTGAGTCTCCAGTGTCTATTATTCCACTCTCTATGTATACACATTACTTAGCTCTCACTTAGAAGTGAGAATATATGGTAAAAGCACATTTTTATTTTTAGATAGCACTTTTCTTTCCAGGCATCATTAAAGAACTTCTTTAATTCACTTATTCCAACACCATCTTCTATGGAAGGTTAGACATAAAGTTTTTCTTTGGTTAAGATGTTTTGAAATACTATATTGTAGGATTCACTTTATAGTAACACTGAGCTGAGTATTGAAGTGGGTACTGTACTTGAAAATCAATCGAGCAATGTTTTCAGTACAACTTTAAAATAATCAAAGACATATTTCACTGAAGGATCAGATTCACTTAATTTTTTCCCTATAGTCTTATGACTTTAAAACAGAAAACACTGTAAACTCCTGTCTTAGTTGGCTCAGGCTGCTATAACAAGGTTAAATATTACAAATGGGTGGCTTAAACAACAGACATGTATTTCTCATAGTTCTGGAGGATGGGAAGTCCAAGATCAAGGTGCCTACAGATTCATTGTCCAGTAGGGTCCTCTTTCTGTCTGGTAAACAGTTGCCTACTTATAGAGTGCTCATATAGCCTTCCGTCTGTGTGTATGCTTAGAGAGAAATAAAGTGATCCCTCCTTGTCATCTTATGAGGGCACTAATCCCATGATGGCACCACCCTTTTGACATAATCTGAACCTAATTACTTCCAAAGGACCCACTTCCAAATAATGTCACATTGGGAGTCAGAGTGTCAACATATGAATTTTGAAGGGACACCAATATTCAGTACATAATAATACCTCAAACCTATGTTTTCCTCTGTTTCAAGGATGAGATAAAGTATTTGCATCACTAGATGAAATGAAAAAGTGTTTCTTTCCTATTTGCCTTTTTATATTTAGTACTGAACAAGGAATAGGAAATAGCTAGAATGCTTCTAAAGTTTGTTTTTGATATACTAATTTATTTTAACATATTTTCCTTTTTTCTATGAAAACAAGATGGAAGATCTTCCAGAACAAGAAAAAAATATCAATGTTGTAGATGAATTAGAAATACAATTTTATGAAATTCAGTTAGAACTATATGATGTTAAATTTGAGATATTAAAAAATGAAGAAATACTGCTTACTACACAGTTGGACTCTCTTAAAAGACTTATAAAAGGTAAAATTTATAAGTATATAAATTACAATGTTTAAATTACAAATTCAAGGAAATACAGACCGTATTTATTACATTTTGTAAATTATAACGTCTGAAAATTTCCTAATGTTTTCCTTCAGTGCTTTATTACTCAAATAATATTCATTAACACATAGCAAAACAAACAAAAATGATTATTATCCCAAGTCCATCATCTACAGATACTTAGTGGTTGGCTGGGTGCAGTGGCTCACGCCTGTAATCCCAGCACTTTGGGAGGCTGAGGAGGGCAGATCACTTGAGGTCAGGAGTTCCAGACCAGCCTGACCAACATGGTGAAACCCCATCTGTACTAAAAATACAAAAGTACTAAACCCTGTCTCTACTAAAAATACAAAGTCTGAGGCTGGGCCTAAGTGGCTTACGCCTGTAATCCCAGCACTTTGGGAGGCTGTGGCAAGCAGATCACCTGAGGTCGGGAGTTCAAGACCAGCCTGACCAACGTGGAGAAATCCCGTCTCTCTTAAATATACAAAATTAGCCGGGCGCGGTGGCTCACGCCTGTAATCCCAGCACTTTGGGAGGCCGAGGTGGGTGGATCACGAGGTCAACAGATCGAGACCATAGTGAAACCCCGTCTCTGCTAAAAATACAAAAAATCAGCTGGGCATGGTGGTGCGTGCCTGTAATCCCAGCTACTCAGGAGGCTGAGGCAGGAGAATTGCCTGAACCCAGGAGGTGGAGGTTGCGGTGAGCCGAGATCGTGCCATTGCACTCCAGCCTGGGTAACAAGAGCGAAACTCCGTCTCAAAAAAAAAAAAAAAAAAAAAAAATTAGCTGTACGTGGTGGTGCATGCCTGTAATTCCAGCTAGTCAGGAGGCTGAGACAGGAGAATAGCTTCAACCTGGGAGGCAGAGGTTGCAGTGTGCCAAGATCATGCCATTGCACTCTGGCCTTGGCAACAGAGCAAGACCATCTCGGAAAGGGAAAAAAAGATTCTTACTGGTAACAATTTGCTGTATAACTTTAGATTTTTAAATATGCTGATACATAAAAATATAAATTTTTAACCAAAACTACATAACCAGTTTAGTGACTTCTTTTTTAAAATTAATTTTTGTGGATACATGGTAGGTACGTATATTTATGGGTTCCATGAGATATTTTGACACAGGCATATAATGCGTAAGTCTTTTTCATTTAATACATAATAATTGTCTTTCCATTTCAGTAAATAATAAAAGTATCAAATTTTAATGGCTGCATAGTAGTCCATTATATGGATATATCATGATTTCTAATCGGCTGTTTTCAACGGTAGTGTAGCGACTTTCCTTTACACATGTCTTTGAGTATAGGACAGATTATTTCCTTGGAATAAATTTCTAAGGATGGAATTATTGGGTCAAGGGCAATGTATATTTTACATTTTGATATATATCTGTTCAAACAACAGAACAATCATCTGAGATACATTTTTCCTCACCTCTGTATTTTCTGATTTCTAAATTTCATACTACATAATGGCCGTCTAGATAGGCTGTAAATTTAAAATGACCTCCAAGCTTGGTGTGGTGGCTCATGCCTGTAATCTTAACACTCTGGGAGGATCACTTGAGGTCAGGAGTTCAAGGCTGTCTCTACTAAAAATACAAAAACTAGTGGGTCGTGGTGGCAGGTGCCTATAATTCCAGCAACTGGGAGGCAGGAGAATTGGTTGAACCCAGAAGGCAGAGGTTGCAGTGAGCTGAGATGGCACCACTGCACTCTAGCCTGGGTGACAGAGCAAGACTCTGCCTCACAAAAAAAAAAAAAAAAAAAAAATGAGAAAAAGATGCTCCTATCAGCAGAATATGAGTGCGTATGTTTCCCAGACTGATGCCATTCTTCTGCATTTTTGCTTGCTCAACAGAGAAAATAGCAGCCTCTAATTTTCATTTAATTATGAGTGAATATTGACAATTTTGTATGTTTATGAGCCATTTTACTTTATGAAATGACTGTTCATGGTCTTTGTCCATTTTTCTTTGAAATATTTTCTTTCCACCTTAAGAATAATTTCCTCTATTGTCTGTCATATGTTGCAAATAATCTCTTCCTGTCATTTGTGTTTTCTTACCTTTGAGAAATCATTTTTATGAAGTCATGTTTTATTTTTTCCCCTATGGCTTCTGCTTTTAGTGTTGTCTGGCAAAGTCTTCTTCCCAAAATTATGTCAGTATATATTTATGTTTTCTTTTAGTATGTTCATGAGGTTGCTTTTAAAACATTTAATTCTTTTGTCCAGGTGGAATTTATTTTACCTAGGACAGTAGTAGGAATCGAACCTTTCCCTCACATTGTTAAGCAGCCCCAATCACTGATTTTAAAATCATTTTCCCCTAAATATTTAACATTTCTCAAGTTAAACATTAGATTAACTTTGGTCTATTTCTGAGTTATTCTCTATTGGTTTGTGAGTGGCTGCTGGTGCTGGCTCCACACTGTTCTCATGACTGTACCTTGGAAGCACATTTTTAGGGTCTAGTAAGGGAAGTGCCCACTGCCCCATTACTTCTTCAGATGTTTTCTGACTATTTTAACTCCTTTATTCTTCCAGATGAAATTTAGAATCAAGTTCAAAACAAAAACTAGTTGGAATTTTGATTGTGATTTTGCTTAAAATTAGAAATTTGGGGAGAATAGTGGTCTTTGCAATTTGAATCTTCCCACCCAAGAACATGGTATGTCTCTCCATTTATTTAAATCTTTTTTCTTAAAGTGTCTCCAAGTTTAATAAATTTCTTCACATAGATCCTGAACTTTTAGTTTAATCCTGAGTATTCAGAATTTTTTGTAGTAGTTTCAGATTATAAGCATTTTACATATTTAGAGAAATATTACATTCAAAAAAAGTTAATCTGGAAGGATACATGCCAAATTGTTCATAATGTTTTTCCTCTGAGAATGACTCGGAAGGTTTAGGGAAGGAGCAAGAAAATTTCACTGTTCATTTTATGTACTTCTGGAGGGTCTGAATTTGTTACAGTAAGCACGACTTTTAAAAAATCAATAGGTAATCAAGATTAAATATCATTAAGTCATCTTAATAACATTGCTTGTAGAATGTGAGTTGCCTTTCTGGAGGGCAATTTGGCAATGAGTATCAAGATTCTTAAATTGTATTTATCTGTTAAGGAAATAATAAAAAGTGTACAGAAAGATTTATACAGAGATGTTCATCACAGTGAAATGAATAATAATGGAACATTCGAACAGCCTAACAACATGGATTGCTTAGAGAATACTATGCTGCCATTAAAATTTACCTTATTTTCAATTTTTAAAAAAACTTTTTGGAGATGGAGTCTCGATCTGTTGCTCAGGCTGGAGCGCAGTGGTGTGATCTCAGCTCACTGCAACCTCCACCTCCAAGGTTCATGCGGTTCTCCTGCCTCAGCCTCTTGAGTAGCTGGGATTACGGGCATGTGCCACTGTACCCAGCTAATCTTTGTATATTTAGTAGTAGAGATGGGGTTTTGCCATGCTGGCCAGGCTGGTCTTGAACTCCTGACCTTGGGTGTTCTGCTTGCCTTGTCCTCCCAGAGTGCTGGGATGACAGGTGTGAGCCACTGTGCCCAGCCTAAAAATTTTTATTTCCATTCCAGGAAAAATGATGTCTTAGAATTCTGTTGATATGTGTAGCTATGTAAGTAGTATGTGTGTGTGTATGCACATGTATACATTCATATATATATACGTGTGTATATGTATATTACCTATATATACACGTTTTATATATATGTAAATAGTGATTCTCCCTCAGTGGTGGGATTACAAGTGATCTTTATTTTTCTTACAGTTAAAAATATTTAGTGCATTTTCTAAAATAATGTTTTAAACAATCGTTAATACATTTTTAGAAAAACAGGATGAAGTTGTCTATTACGATCCGTGTGAAAGTCCAGAGGAACTTAAAGTCATTGACTGTGTGGTGGGGCTGCAGGACAATAAGAATTTGGAAGTGAAAGAACTCAGAAGGCAGTGCCAGCAGCTGGAGTCTAAACGGGGCAGGATCTGTGCCAAAAGAGCCTCTCTCCGGAGCAAAAAGGTAGGTATGCCCAGAGCGGCTTTCTTTTCTCTTCCAGATATTCTTTTTTTTTTTTTTTTGAGACGGAGTTTCGCTCTTGTTACCCAGGCTGGAGTGCAATGGCACAATCTCGGCTCACCGCAACCTCCGCCTCCTGAGTTCAGGCAATTCTCCTGCCTCAGCCTCCTGAGTAGCTGGGATTACAGGCACGCACCACCATGCCCAGCTACTTTTTTGTATTTTTAGTAGAGACGGGGTTTCACCATGTTGACCAGGATGGTCTCGATCTCTTGACCTCGTGATCCACCCGCCTCGGCCTCCCAAAGTGCTGGGATTACAGGCTTGAGCCACCGCGCCCGGCCCAGATATTCTTTTATGAAGGACAAAGAGGTATTGAAATAAGGTTTTTACCAACACAGTCATTAATTTTTTAATGTGCTTACATACTTATCCATGGCTATGGCTAAAATGCTCTTTTAAAATATTTTTCTTAAAAATATTCTTTTTTTCTTTTGGGATTTAAGCATTTAGCAAATCTCAAGGTTTTAATTTATTCATTCAACAACTATTTGTTGAATGCCCATTGCATACGCAGGCACTTTATTTTTGTATTTGAGACAGAGTCTTGCTCTGTCACCCAGGCTGGAGTACTGAGGTGTGATCTAGGCTCACTGCAACATCCATCTCCCAGGTTCAAGGGATTCTTGTACCTCAGACTCCCAAGTAGCTGGGATTACAGGTACGTACCACCATGCCCAACTAAATTTTGTATATTTTGTAGAGACGGGGTTTTGCCACGTTGGCTAGGCTGGTCTTGAACTCTGACCACAAGTGATCCATCCACCTTGGCCTCCCAAAGTACTGGGATTACAGGTGTGAGCCACTGCCCCTGGACCACAGGTACTTTAAAAACCACAATAGGTAGAAACTATTTCTAATAACCAACTGTAACAATTCTAAATTTTTTGTGTGTGAATTATTGAGTACAAAAATCAATTATGGATATAATATTCAGCTCATTTCAGAGCTTATATTTGGTGATTTTTTAATTCGTTTTTTTGAGACGGAGTCTTGCTGTCGCCCAGGCTGGAATGCAGTGGTGCAATCTGGGCTCACTGCAACCTCCACCTCCCAGGTTCAAGCAGTTCTCCTGCCTTAGCCTTCCAAGTAGCTGGGATTATAGGCATGCGCCTGTATTCCCTATATAATCCCAGCTATTTGGGAGGCTAAGGCAGGAGAACATGCCGGCTAATTGTTTTGATTTTTGTTAGAGACAGGGGTTTCACCATGTTGGCCAGGCTGGTTTCAAACTTCTTACCTCAAGTGATCTGTCTGCCTTGGCCTCTGCCTCAGTGCTGGGATTACAGGCGTGAGCCATTGTGCCTGACGATTTTCTTAATTTTTAAAAATCCATGAATACATAAAAGATAACACACTAAGAAATTTAATTTTTTCCGACAGAAAAAAAAGGAAGCTTCTATATATCATTTTTATCTAGACTTTTATATGTATTTAGTCACATTTACTATACTTTTTTTTGTTTTTTGTTTTGTTTGAGATGGAGTCTTGCTCTGTCTCCCAGGCTGGAGTGTGATGGCGTGATCTTGGCTCACTGCAACCTCCACCTACCAGGTTCAAGCGAGTCTCCTGCCTCAGCCTCCCACATAGCTGGGATTACTGGGATTACAGGTGCTTGCCACCATGTCCGGCTAGTTTTTGTATTTTTAGTAGAGACAGGGTTTCACTATGTTGGTCAGGCTGGTCTTGAACTCCTGACCTCCAACAGTCTACCTGCCTCGGCCTCCCAAAGTGCTGGGATTACAGGCATGAGCCACCACACCCAGCCTACTATACTTTTCTTATTAGAATTAGGAAAACAAGAAAATCGTGACTTTTGTAGCTTACAAAAATGTTACTCTTCAATGTAAATACAAAAAGCTTGACTAGGTGTGGTGGCTCATGCCTGTAATCCTAGTACTTTGGGAGGCTGAGGTGAGAGAATCCCTTCAGGCCAAAAGTTTGAGACCAGACAACACAGTGAGACTTAATCTCTATGGTGTGCACCTATAGAGCCAGCTACTGAAGAAGCTGAGGCAGGAGCATTGCTTGAGCCCAGGAGGTTGAGCCTTCAGTGAACTATGATTGCACCATTACACTTGAGCCTGGGTGACAGAACGAGACCCTGTCTCTAATAAAGAATAAAAATAAAAAACTTTGTTAGAAGAGTATATTATTTGAATGTTTATGTTTAAGAATTGTACTTCTGGATTTAGGAACTGTTCTTCAGAGGATTTGAAGATACACAGGCATTTGCCCTTTGCTCCACATTTCAGAAAAACCATGAGCACTGAGAGAAGTCTCCTTTGGCACTCCCATGGCACTGTGGATGAGATGCCTCTCTCTCCTTGGCAGTGTGTGTGTGTGTGTGTGTGTGTGTGTGTGTGTGTACACATAAAATGCTCCTGTGCCTTCTCTATCCAGATTTGGAGCATTAACTTTCACTCTGAAGATATAATCACTCCCCCGACCTCATTTAGGGGAGCTCTTGCACTGATTCCAGAAATTTGGAAGGCACTCAGTTAATAGAATGGCAGTTGAGGTTAGCTCTCAACTTGGGTTCAAATCACATCTTGTCTACTTATCTAGATAGCCATGTAACCTTAGGTAAATTATTTAAAGGTCTTTGGAGCTCAGTTTTCTCATCTGTTAAATAGAGGATGATGGTGGTAATACAATCTCATGATTCATGTGAGGATAAAGTAGCATAAGACATGAAAAGTAGTTGGCATTGAGGCTAGCAGCTAAAACCTCAATAAATGTTAGTATTATCTGTGAGTATTACTGTATATTTTTACATAGATGAAGAATTTTGCAGCTGGATGCAGTGGCTCAGGCCAGTAATCCCAGCACTTTGAGAGGCCGAGGCGGGCGGATAACGAGATCAGGAGTTCGAGACCACCCTGACCAACATGGTGAAACCCCATCTCTACTAAAAACACAAAAATTATCTGGATATGGTGGTGTGCACCTCTAATCCCAGCTACTGGGGAGGCAGAGGTTGTGGTGAGCCGAGATCATGCCATTGCACTCCATCCAGCCTGGGCAACAAAGCAAGACTCCATCTCAAAAAAAAAAAAAAAAATTTATGTGCACATAGGATATATTGGTATAATGAGTGGATAAGCACAGGTGAAAGTTATTAACGTAATTTTTCATATATTTGTAGGTTGCTCTGCTTTTGTAGGTATGCTTGGAAATGTAATTAGTATTTATAATATGAGGAAGTATGTTTAAAACAATCACATGAAAACAGATTGTTGGGACACATCTCATTTAAGAATGAGGGCTGCCTATATGTCGTGGTTGGTGGATTGTTTTTCATCTCTCAAAGCACTATGCTGGGAACAAATTCTTCCCATAAGCAGCCAAGCAACTCTCATCGTAGACGGTGGAGGAGACAGTACCACTGGGCTGCGCCAGAACTGATATTAATGAATGCCTTATGCTGCAGCCCAAATGCAGTGCTTTTTTTCTTTCAACCTTTTATGCTATACAAGGGTAATATTAAAAAATCATGTAGGTGATTTGTATTATTCCACCAGGATCAGTGCAAAGAAAATCATCAGCTCAGATTGCAACAGGCTGAAGAAAGCATAAGATACTCTCGCCAGCATCATAGTATTCAGATGGTGAGTCTCTGAAGGAAAACGTTCTGTGTTTGTGTAGTGTGACATGCAGGCCTAGACTTCTGGAAACTGGAGTTGTGCTGCCCTGGACCTGCAGCTGTCAGCCATTCACTTCCAGGCCCTGCAGCCTGGGCGCAGCCTTGGGGGGTTGGTAATGTTGGGGCACAGTCTCTTTTTTGTCAAGACATTTTTTTTGTAATGTTGAGCAACTTACAAATACACATTTGTTTAAATATAGAAAAGAGACAAACTAAAAGAAGAGGAACAAAAGAACAAAGAATGGATCAACCAAGAACGCCAAAAAACACTCCAACGATTGAGAGCATTTAAAGATGTAAGTTCTATAAACAATCACCTCACCTATATTTCTGGGGAAATAAATGAAGACCACCCATCCTAAGAGAAAAGTATAAAATATTAAGAACAGGTCATTCAGAACGTGAAATGTTTCAAAGATACCATTATTTCTGGTATATCAATAAACAACAATAGAACATCAGTGATTCAAAACCCAAGATATAAAATAACTGCTGTTTTCGACGTCACAACACTCTTGGGTTCCTGCTCCGCACTCCTCACCGAGTAGTCCTAGCTGGACTGGTGGTTTAGATTGGCAGGGAAAACTGAAAACTCTTCAACTCCCTTGACTTTAACTGGCTTTTCCCCACATTTGTGATAATTCTTTAAAATGTTATCCAGGCAGCATTGTGATATAAGTGTAGTTGAAAGTGCCCTGTTAAAAGTAAAATGTGTTTTTAATTTTTTCCTATCTGCATCTTTCTTTTTAAAATTTTTTTTAAGTATATACTTATGAGGGTAATGTTATTTTTTATGCCCTCTGTTCCAGGCTTACATTTGCATTTCCTCCACAAAATGAATCTGTAATTTTTTTTCTATTTCTTGACTTTATTATTAGAAATAAATTCCTTTAAAAGCTGTTATGAACATTCAAAAAAATTTTTTTGCTTTTATTTTCTTCTTCTTTTTTTCTTTTCTTTTTTGAGACACAGTTTCACTCTTGTTACCCAGGCTGGAGTGCAATGGTGCGATCTTGGCTCACCGCAACCTCCACCTCCTGGGTTCAGGCAATTCTCCTGCCTCAGCCTCCTGAGTAGCTGGGATTACAGGCACGCGCCACCATGCCCAGCTAATTTTTTGTATTTTTAGTAGAGACAGGGTTTCACCGTGTTGACCAGGATGGTCTCGATCTCTTGACCTCGTGATCCACCCACCTCGGCCTCCCAAAGTGCTGGGATTACAGGCTTGAGCCACCACGCCCGGCCTGCTTTTATTTTTAATTGACACATAATTGTACAGATTTATGAGGTATAATATGATACTTTGATACAGATACACAACATGTAATGATTAAATCAGAGTAATTAGCATATCTATCACCTCAAACATTTATCTAAAGGTAAATAGGTTTTTTAAAACAATGTTAATAGGGAGTCAGGCTGAATGGCTCATGCCTGTAATCCCAGCACTTTGGGAGGCTGAGGCAGGTGGATTGCTTGAGGCCATCCATGAGTTCGAGACCAGCGTGGGCAACATGGTCACCCGTCTATTAAAAATACAAAAAAAATTAGCTGGGTCTGGTGGCTTATGCCTTTAGTCCCAGCTACTTGGGAGGCTAAGGCACAAGAATCACTTGAGCCTGGGAGGCAGAAGTTGCACTGAGAGCCAAGATCGTGCCACTGCATTCCAGCCTGGGCAACAAAGCGAGACTCCACTGTCCCAAAAAATAAAAAATAAATAGGGGCTTATTTAAGAATATCATTAGCCTTGTGCAGTGGCTCACACCTGTAATCCCAGCACTTTTGGAGGCTGAGGTGGGTGGGTCACCTGAGGTCAAGAGTTTCAGACTAGCCTGGCCAACATGGAGAACCCCATCTCAATTAAAAATACAAAAATTACCTGGGCACAGTGGCATGTACCTGTAATCTCAGCTACTTGGTAGGCTGAGGCAGAAGAATCACTTGAACCCGGGAGGTGGAGGTTGCAGTGAGCTGAGATCACACTGCACTCCACTCCAGCCTGGGTGGTAGAGTGAGACTGTCTCAAAAAGAATTGAATTTATTGACTATATACGTAGACCTGCTCTTATTCCCCAGCCCTTTCACAAAGACCCAAGTTTATTGTAGCTCCGAAAAGGGAAACAACCCACTTTATCCCAGAAAAGATTCTGGAATAGGTATCAGATGCCTTCTGTGTACCAGGCACCATGCTAGGCACTTTACATTCACTCTCACTTAGTTCTTTAAACAGGCTTGTGACATATTTTCATCACCATATTAAAAATAAGTAACCAAGGTTCAGAATGGTTGGTTACACAACTTAGCTCAAGGTTAAACAGCAGGGATTGAAGCCAGGTCTTTCTTACTCCAGAGCCACTACAGGGCTTCTCAGCCTGGGCAACACATCCGAATCCCCTTAGGGAGCTTCTTCTAAGGCCCAGTCCCAAACACAGAAATTCTGATATGACTGCCCTGGATAGGGGCCTGGGTGTGAACTGCAGCAGGAAGACTGAATTGATAGGAACTGCATCAATGCCAGATGAATGTAGAGCCAGTGAGGTAGACAGGAACTGGCTGGTTGTCCTCACCAACAGTTTTGATGAAGAGAATGGAGTCAGTGTGGAGGAAGGGATCTAAGTGTGGCCAGCCTGTCCTCCTCAGCCCTCATTCAGATCAAGGAGTTGTTTGGCAATATAGAAGATTACTTTTCCATGTGTGGGTGATATGAAAATGGGAGGGGCAGCCAGATTTAAGTGACAGAATCAGGCCTCCCAAGCTCCCAATGAAACTGGGTAAGTTCACCTAAAGTTGGGATATATTACTGGTTTTCTAGACCAAAAAAGCCCATATGTAGTATGCACTCGCATGGGGTGATGGGAAAGAGTGAGTTGCTTAAATTTTTGGGAAAAGAATTTGAGAATTAATTCAGTTTCCTCCTTCAGCTTAATGAGCCACTTGTGTGACAGAAGCTCAAAGGCTTTTGGGATGTATGGACAGCAGCATCTTGTGTAGAATAAGGGAGTTCTGTGTTTATACGGAAGTGCCACTTTTTAAGGAAGGGGAACAGAGCCAATTTCAGCACATTTGGAAGGGAAGAAGTAGGAGGGGGAGAAAACTAGAAATAAAATCATGTGATACATGACATCTGGTGAGATCAAGGAAGTTGTTTGACTATCTGAAGGGCTGAGTGAGGTAAAGGATTTAATTTATTGTGGGTGGAAAAACTGCAGTAGAAGGAGAACCTGGTCAGGCGCCTGTGGTTCACGCCTGTAATCCCAGCAGTTTGGGAAGCTGAGGCAGGCAGATTGCTGGAGCCCAGGAGTTTGAGACCAGCCTGGGCAACAAAGTGAGACCCTATCTCTGCCAGAAAAATAAAAAGGCAGAACTTAATAGTCCAGAGTCACAGTGGCATGCTGCAGCCAGGATGCCACGGAGGGGATCCTTGGGTGTCAGGGAACCCCAGTATCAGGTACGACCAATGATCAGCTGGAATTTGCATTAATAGGGTCATATTGAATGCATCCTTTGCCAGTTTATTTAATGTAGGTTTTTGAGATATATTCATGTTAATATGTATAGGCCTAGTTCATGTTAATGAGTCCATACTGTTAACATTTTGTTTTGTCGGCTAATCAGTGCCTTCTTTAGGGCCCTGCTCTCAAGATTAGCTCTTTGTAGGGCTAGGTTTTTTTTAATCAAATGAATACCTGAAAGACCAGAACTTTTTAAATTTATATTTTTTAAATTATGAAATTGACTCTAAGCCTAAAAGAGAAAAGAAATATCCACAGGCTCTGTTATAGCTGCCGCTTGGGTGTCCACTCTGCTGGCACTTTTCATAGAGCTTTTCTCATTTATAATCGTAATACATATATTTTATATCTGGTTTTCACTGAACGCTATCTGACTTTTTCAGATGTTTCAAGTTTTGTACTATTTATGACTTTTTGTGGGTACTTAACATTTTGGATAGATTTGCCACAATTTTTAAAAAATTGATGACTATTTTCCTCTATATGTATGCTTTTGTATCTTCATTTTACTATAGAGAAGGTAATAACCTGATCAAAGGATATAAATACTTATCCTTTAATCCATGAAAAATGGATTCAGTAGCAAGGATGGCTGTACAAACAAGAGGCAACTACTTTGTGAATTAGACCATCCACGCATAGAAACGCATTTGTTTATAAATTTATTTCTAGAAAGTTTAAGCATTTTGATGGTTTGCACTTGTGGCAGATTCCTCACCATGGTTTTTCATTTTCAGAAGCACCTGGGTCAATCTGTCCGAAACACCTCTGTCTCAGAACCTGTGGCTCCAAACCTGCCAGGTGGCCTTTCCCAGCAGACGTGCTTGCCAGCTTCCCAGATGGTGTCAGTAATTCATCCATCCTCTAGGAAAACTAGAGGTTTTCCTCTGTCGGAAGCTAGTAACGTGAAAGCCCCCAAGTGTCAAGACTGTCGTGAAAATACCTCTGTCCAGATTTTTGTTCCAGTTAGTGAGCAAACACATTCCAAATCCAGTGAGGAATTGCCACTGCCACCTCCTCCACCTCCACCACCACCACCTCCACCTCCACCTCCACCACCAGGACCACCTCCTCTGCCTGCTCTGTCCTCATCCTCTGAAGCTGCAACTCATCAGAACCTAGGCTTCAGGGCTCCAGTGAAAGATGACCAGCCACTTCCTTTAGTGTGTGAATCACCTGCTGAGAGACTACGTGACTCCTTAGGACATTTCCCATGTCCAGGTAATCCACTGGAATTCTGTCCCTGCTCCCCATGGGTTGTTAAGCTGTTGAAGCATTCTAGCTTCAGAAGCCATCATCTTCAAATTGAAATCATTTTTAGAATTCTCTCTAGTCTTAAAATGTTCCAGTATTTGCTGCCTTGAGTATCATTATTCTTTCATCACAAAGTATAGTATAGCCTAAATCTGGTTTCATAAATGTTAATTCAGTTTGAAGAAACCATCTCTATACCTTTAATGATCGCATGACATGAGGTTGTTAGCCAAGTATCAACCTATTTGAAGTTTTCTTAAAACTTCAGTATGTATTTAATGTCTGCCATTGGAATATTTTCAATACTGTTTTAAATTATGCTTACTGTTGCATCTGAGTCCTTTACAGAATCCAGTTGTTGTATTTTAAGCAGAATACTGGTTGCAAATTACTGTAGAGGCATATTAGCCAGATGTAGAAGGCTGTTCTTGCAGACTGACTAGCAGACTGAGGACCCTTACTGTTGGAAATCTTTCTAAAGTGTAATGGATCAGAAAGAAAAAGTGGGCCACTTGTCTTGGCAAGCGTAGTTCACTGAATACTCTTGACTGTTTCTTTAATACGGCTATAGTTCTCACTCAGAATTTGAATTATGGCTTTAGACATTGAGTATTGAGGAGAATGGCCTAAATCTGACGAGACTTGGAGCCTACTGCTTTGTGGTTGTGTGTGTGTACGTGTGTGTGTGTGTTTTAGATAAATTCTAGCAAAATTTGTTAATTTGTTTTTAAAAGTATGCTTGAGCACCTTCATCTATACTGTGCAAGGTTACTGTAATAGTTGATATGAATAACAGTTCCCAGTTGTGATTCTGGTTAGTTGATCAGTTTGGCTGTTCTAAGTTCAGAGCTTCCACTGTGCCTAGAACCAGGTACAAATGAAAATGTCCAAATAAGCCGGGTGCGGTGGCTCAAGCCTGTAATCCCAGCACTTTGGGAGGCTGAGGTGGGTGGATCACGAGGTCGAGAGATCGAGACCATCCTGGTCAACATGGTGAAACCCCGTCTCTACTAAAAATACGAAACATTAGCTGGGCATGGTGGCACGTGCCTGTAATCCCAGCTACTCAGGAGGCTGAGGCAGGAGAATTGCCTGAACCCAGGAGGCGGAGGTTGTGGTGAGCCGAGATCGTGCCATTGCACTCCAGCCTGGGTAACAAGTGTGAAACTCCGTCTCAAAAAAAAAAAAAAAAGAAAATGTCCAAATATTAGGTGGAGACCCAATGGCCTGTTTCCATGGGGTTTGCAACAACTGTCCCATGTATGAAAAGTAAGAGTTCGCATGCCTGTGTCTAGATCAGACTTCGGAAGTGGGCAGATCTTTGTGGGGTGCCACATTGCCAGCCCAGGTTTAATGCACATGGTTTTGGGAAGACCTATTCAACTCAAACACTGCTAATTCACAGGAAACAATAAGAAAGTGTGAATTTGCACCACAGAATGCCCTTGATTGTGAAACCTGCCTCATTACTCCCAGAAGGAAATTGTAATATGAATTTACAGCTTTAAAACCAAAGCAGAATAGCCTTTTGTTAGCCATAGCATGGCCTTTCAGTCCTGAACTAGAAACCATTATTAATCCTGAAGCTTTACCTGGCAGATCTCTAAATTAGTGGCCTCAATCAGGCCTGTCTCCAGCAGCTGATAAAAGATTTTACCCTCTCAGGGGTCTCCAAGTGCCAGAGTGAAAAATAGCTTCTTCTCACCAATGCCTTGAAGCTCTGATCTAATTTGTGTTTTGACAGCATTTCATATCCTCAAAAATAAAGTATGTAAGCCACCTCAGGGTAATGTAGGTGGAATTAAACACATTATATACGGAAAAATGTGCCAGCGCTACCCCTCCTGGTTCATTGAGTTGCCGGTTAAAGTTTTATTTTAAGCCTTTTCATGTGTAGAAACCTACTCACTTCATTGTCATAGAATGAGTCATCACTTACTAATATCCAAGACTGAAGTTAAATTGAGCAGCATAATTTTTTTTTTTAAAGATTTATTTTAGTTGGACAGGATAATGAAGGAGATACAGCTTCAGAGGTATCCAGGTCATGCACACTGGGTAAGACTGTTCCACCCCAGGCATCCATAACTGTCTTCAGGATGGGAGGGACAGATCACATTTGTCTTAAAAAAGTCATTCTAACAAAAGGTATACATGCCTATGCTTCTCAGTTGCTATGGATTTGAAGAAGTTAGTTAGCAGAAAAGAAGTGGTTAAGCTGAAACATGAGCTATTCAGCTATCCTGGATTCAATCAGGGAGCTTATCGTTGATGTGTCTAGCAGGTAATGAAGGCATTTGCTTAATGAAATGATTATTTGTTTAAATCATGCTGTTAACTGATGTGAGATTTAACAATGTTATAGCAATAATGTTCTGGGGAGGGAGCATGTTTTCTTGATGGTACTTGCTCTGCTTACCCAATTTCAGGATCTATGGACGAAGTGTTGGCCTCCTTAAGGCATGACAGAGCCCCCCTCCGGAAGGTCGAAGTGCTGGCAGTGCGCCCTCCCCACGCCTCAGTCAATGAGCACATTCTGGCTGCCATAAGGCAGGGGGTCAAACTGAAGAAAGTTCACCCAGACCTTGGCCCAAACCCCAGCAGCAAACCAACCAACAGCAGACACACCAGTGACCTTGAGAGGAGCATCAAGGCTGCGCTCCAGAGAATCAAGAGGGTGTCTGCTGACTCAGAGGAAGACAGTGATGAGCAGGACCCCGGCCAGTGGGACCGTTAAGCCAAGTTTGACAAAAAGTGGGTGGAGCTAAGGCCTGTTGAAAAGCATGCGAACAGGGTGCTGGTAGATGGGCCACATGACACCTCTGACGATCAGCAGGACATGGGGTGGGACCCTGCAGCTTTTATGTGACATGGTGACTTTTTTTTTTTTTTTCTTTTTTTTTGAGACGGAGTTTCGCTCTTGTTAGCCAGGCTGGAGTGCAATGACGCGATCTTGGCTCACCGCAACCTCCGCCTCCTGGGTTCAGGCAATTCTCCTGCCTCAGCCTCCTGAAGCTGGGATTGCAGGCACGCGCCACCACGCCCAGCTGATTTTTTGTATTTTTAGTAGAGGCGGGGTTTCACCATGTTGACCAGGATGGTCTCGATCTCCTGACCTCATGATCCACCCGCCTCGGCCTCCCAAAGTGCTGGGATTACAGGCTTGAGCCACCGCGCCCGGCCAACATGGTGACTCTTAAAACTGGGGAGGGGCCAGGTGCCGGTGGTTCACATGTGTAATCCCAGCACTTTGGGAGGGTGAGGCGGCTGGATCACAAGGTCAAGAGATTGAGACCATTCTGGCCAACACGGTGAAACCCTGTCTCTACTAAAAATTTAAAAAATTAGCTGGGTGTGGTGGTGCGCACCTGTAGTCCCAGCTATTTGGGAGGCTGAAGCAGGACAATCGCTTGAACTTGAGAGGCAGAGGTTGCCGGGAGCTGAGATCATGCCACTGCACTCTACCCTGGTGACAGTGTGAGACTGTCTCAAAAAAAAAAAAAAAAAAAAAAAAAAAAAAACTGGAGAGGGAAGCAGACTTGAGATTTTGACCCACCAGTCCATATGCGGGATGTCAAGACCTGTCAGAAGTGGCGCTGGCCTAAGAAGGGCACTTATTTCTTACCTTCATTGGTGATCCAGAGTCGTTCCTTGATTCTGAAAGCAGTTTACACTACTCTGGTAAACTGCTTTTAGACTATTAGACTACTGACCGTGGCCTCCTGTGTATATGTAATAGTGATTCCTCAGATTTATAAGTATGAATGTAAATGTTATTTTAGCAATAAGAAAAATTGCTTATATTCAGGAGTTATTTTAAATATTTAAATGAAATTATGTACCAAGTACTACATAAACTCAAAGAACTATTTACAATGTATTAGCATCACTCATGGTGAAATGAAAACATACATTAGCTGCTGTACAAGCAAAGCTTTCTGTACCTGGGTGGGCTTAAAGTTTTTAATAAGGTTTCAGCTAAATGCTTGTTTAAATGAATACTAAGGGTAGAGGAATACTGTTATTTTCCTCAGGAACTGAAGTCTCATGCCGATATATTTTCTCTAATTCTTAAAATCAGAAAAGGGGAAGGGAAGGGACCAATGTAAAGCTATCCATTCATCTCAGACTACAAGCATCCCCACTAACCTTGTCACCCTCACTCTTGTGATGTTAATCCCGGGTTTCCACAGAACAAAAGGAATTCACCTCATTTCCAAAGAGAGTTCTGCTATAGAACAGAAATCTTGGTACTTACCTTTTTTTGTTGTTGTTTTTTTTTTGAGATGGAGTCTCGCTCTGTCACCAGCCTGGAGTACAGTGGTGTGATCTCAGCTCACTGCAACCTCCGCCTCCTGGGTTCAAGCGATTCTCCTGCCTCAACCTCCTGTGTAGCTGGGACTACAGGCGTGTACCGCCAAGCCCAACTAATTTTTGTATTTTTGGTGGAGACGGGGTTTCACCATGTTGGCCAGGATGATCTCAATCTCTTGACCTCGTGATCTGCCTGCCTTAGCTTCCCAAAGTGCGGGGATTACAGGCATGGGCCACTGTGCCTGGCCTTCAGTGTCTTAACTCTCATACAGCAGCCTGAGGGGCCTCAGCCGGCACAGCTGGGAGGGGCATGGGTTCCTTTCAGCAGCTGCCCCTGGGCCTTCCTTCATGGTGTGGCCACTGCCAGGTTGCCCACAGGTCTGTCACGTGTGCTACCTTTTCCGAATGCAAACCCAACTCCTGTATACAAATGAATGTGCCTCACTGTGCTGGCCTGGGCCTAATGGGCCAAGTGCTAACCGTACACTGGCCCCTGGACCTGTCGCTCCCATGTGGTTCCCAGGGGTGTTCCAGTGGGGGCGGCAACCTGCTGATTACTCACTGGCCTCAGGTCCAGATCCCAGAGGCAGGTGCAATGGCTCTGTCCCAGGCTTCCTTCCCCACCACAGACAGGCCAGGCTCAGCATCAGACTCTTCCTAGGGAAAGAATGTGGAATTGAAAAAGTGGCAAAATCAGAACTTTGTGGGACTTTTCTTTTGCCTGTTTTGCAGTTTGGTATTGTTTGCAATTACATATTTATAATTTCAGTATTTTGAGATACCAGCAAGCTTAGTCAGGCTGGAATAATACTCAATTTGGTTTCTAGCGGCTGGCAAAGAAGGGGGCTTTGAAAAAAAGGATCCTTTTCAAAAGAGCATTCTCACAATAAAAGTTCCTGGCCTGATTATGTCTTCTGTGCATCAGCGCTTCTCTTCCTCCTCTGGAACCCCCTCTCTCCTTTCTCCCTTTTCCTACTTCCTCCAGCCAAGCCTTGAAGTAAATCCAGACTTTGGTTTCAGGGAATTTAAAGCCAAGAAAGTGAGGACTACCCAGCTTCGGAGCTCTCCAATCTGGACCCCGAAGCACTGCCAATCTTCACCTCTCCCTGGCTTTCCGGCCCACATGGTAAGGGCAGCCCCTCAGCCTGGCAGGTAAAACCCTCGGAGACCTGGCCACTTTCCCTGGGCAGTCCCTGTCGCTACCACAGGTTTTAGTCCAGCAACACCATGCTGCTTCCTGACTGCCTGCCCACAAAGGGCCTGTTCTCTTAAGCCAAGTGCCTGGAATTCTTCCTCTACCCTCCATGTCCTGGCAATCTCATGCCCATCTTTAGGTCTCAACTCCACAGGTTTTTCCCCCAGGTCTTCTCCGACCTCTCTCCCCTGTAAAGCCATGTACCTTGTCTTGGAGTCTGGCATTCTGGCCAAAGGAGGACAGGCATCTGCCCCTAGCACAGCCAATCCCTAAGGATTGTCCCGGAGTGAAAAGAAATGAGCTGGACCAATCATACCTGTGTATTCATCTGTTCATCTCTTCCCTCTTCAGAATTTGAACTAGGGAATCAAGCCGGTGGTAATAGTAGCCAGAATGAAGAGGTCATCGGTTAAAGGCCACATGGCATGTAAAACCCACATAGTTGAGTGGATTTATGGGGCAGAGGCTCTCAGACCACAGGGCATGTAAAAGCACATGAGAATGCTTTGGTTTTCTACTGCTGCCATACAAATCACAAAAGTCACTGCTTAAAACACAGATTTCTTGTCTTACAGTTCTGTAGGTCAGAAGTCCAACATCTCACTGGGCTAAAATCAAGGTGTTGACAGGGCTGTGTTCTCTTTGAAAGGCTCTGGGGAGCAGCAGTTTCCTTGCCCTTTCTGGTTTCTAGAGGTTGCCCCAGTTCCTTGGCTTGTGGCCCCCTCCTCCACCTTCAGTGCCAGCAGCATCGTATCTCTCTGACCCTTCTTCCATCATTACAGCTCTTTCTAACCCAAGAAAAGGTTCTCTGCTGCTGAGAACTTGTGTGATTAGACTGGGCCCAACCAGATGATCCAGGATAATCTCCCTGTCTGAAGGGCCCTTTTGCCAAGTATGGTAACATAGTCACAGGTTCTAGGGATTACGATGTGGATATCTTTAAGGGCCATTATTCTGTCTAGTATAAGGAGCTTTCTAGCATGAAGATTTCCAGGTCCACAATGCAAGGGTCCTCATCTAGGAAGTCTTCCTGGGATGGGCCAGCAACACAAATAGCTCTGAAGCAGCTAGTCTGCAGATTTTCCTTAGAAAAATGCTACTACAAAAGTCAGAGGACCTGAGTGGGCTGGTGATGCAGCGAAGTAGGCACATTCAGAGCCATGGTGGGATCCTCCTGGGGTCGGCAGTCCTGAAGCCTGGTGTTCATGAGGTCTTCAGAATGGCTTGGGTCATCCTAGGTCTGGAGAAGCAGCGTGAGTGCTGGCCCCTGTCCTCGGCCGCCTGTGAGAGCTCTGTCTTGCGGGGAAGGCTTACAAATCTCCAGTCAGCTGAGTTCCATGAATGCCTGCAACGTAGCAGCTCACCCCCCACTGGAACAGAGCAGATCTGGGGAAAGTCAGTCTTTTCACTATGGTGTTCCCAGGGCCTGGGCATACAGATCACAATAAATATTTGCTAAATGAAAACATGAATGAATAAGAGCTATAAGTATGAAAAGGTGATGGAAGAGGCACAAGTCCCCCTCCCTGGTAGTGGCGGCATACTCAGAAAACCCAAAGCCTAGTGGCCTCAGTCCACACTGCCACTCTTGCTTTGGCTCAGGAGTAGCCCATGAGGACATCAGCCTACTTAGGGAGGTCAAGAACTTCTGAAGTATCTTGTTAAGATACAAAGGACTCCTGAAAGATTTCTGTTGACTTAAAGACAGACACAAATATTTTACTGAACTATGTATTTCTACAGAAACAACTGTTACAACAAAATCGGGTAAAATTCACAAAGGTATACAAGTCTTTAAAGGAAAATATTTTTCCCTTAAATATAAAAAGTTCATTTGCCAAATAACATCAAAAACAAACCAAAAACTGTTAGAAACACAAAAAACAGACAAATACAATAATAGGAGACTAACACACCTTTCTTAGTCTTAATAAATCACATAAATTAAAATTAAAGGTCCATAATGTACTTTATAAGGTCAAATGAATGTATCTGATTGAATTTTGTTCCCTTCAGAGAACATATTTTCTTCAGTTTCCTGGGGATATATATTAAAACAAAAAATTTATTAGGTCTCAAGAAAACATCCATCACGATCTCCAAAATATGCGAACTGTACAAACCATACCCTCTTTGACAACAAGGCAATAAAACCAGAAGTCTGTAAGAAAAGCTAAAAACAACAACAAAATAAACTACCTGGAGATTTTAAAGAGTAACTTCAAAAGACTCCAGTAAAAAATAAAGTCAAATCTGAAATTATGAATTATTTATAACTTAGAACACCAAATATAAATTACAAGTGGGATGGATAAAGATATATTCAGAGGAAAAGTCGTACCTTACAATGTTAGTAACCGTGACTTTTATTAAGGAAGAAAAAGTTAAAATGGCATTCAACTTGAGAAGGTGGGAAAATAATAAAAGAAAAAATTATTAAGAACAAAACAAATAATCATGAAATAGTAAAACAGTAAATTAAGATATAAATCTCAGAGATGGTTATTTGAAAAGACTAATGAAACAGACCAACTCTGGAAAAACTAATGAGAACAAAAAGGAAAAGCAAATACAACATGGGAGTGAGGAGCTCCAGGCCGACAAATCTGAAAATCGTAACAGTCACTACTTAGGAAAATTTACTTAATTAGAAACTTTTTTTTGAGAAAGGGTCTTGCTCTGTGTCGCAGGCATGCTCATGGCTCATTGTGGCTTCAGCCTCCTGGGCTCAAGTAATCCTCCTGCTTCAGCCTTCTGAGTAGCTGAGACTACAGGCACATACCACCATGCCTTGCTAGTTTTTAGTAGAGACAGGGTCTCGCTATGTTGCCCAGGCTGATTGTGAACTCCTGGGCTCAAGCGATCCTCCTGCCTCAGCCTCCTGAAGTGCTGGGATTACAAGGCATGAGCCACCACGCTCAGCCGGGAAAATTTAAATTGCCAAAAAATAGGAAGTTTAAAGAAATCAATGAGCATGAAAAAACCAAAAACTTCCTACAAAGGCACTAGGGACAGTTTTATATGTTATAAAAACTTCAAAGAGCAAAATATTCTAAGTATTTAAACGTTTCCAGGGCATAGAAAGAGAGCGCTTCCCAAGTTCTTTTTAATTTTTAAAGAAGTTAACAAACACCAATAAGTGATGAAGACAGCAGAAAAAAATTGTACAACTATTCATCTTATTTAGGTATGAAAAATTTCATAATAGAATGAGCAAACCAAATCCAGAAGAATTTTGCATTTTAAAACTTATTTTTATTATACAAGTAATACATGATCTTTGTAGAAAAATCAGAACATACAGATAAACACAAAAACCTCCTATGGACCAACCAATCATAAATAACCACTGTTAACACTGAAAGGAGATGTATATTAAAAGAATGCTATACTATGACTATATCAGGCTTTTGTAGAAATGCAGAGATGTCTTAACATTAGCAAATCTATTAAAACGATTCATCTTAAGTCATAATAGAGAAAAACCATTTGATCTTGACAGATGTGAAAAAAGCCATTTAATAAAATCCCAACATCTATTACTAATAATATTTTCATCAAACTAGAAATAGAGGGCATAACCTTAATGTATAATTCAAATATTAAGATTATCTTACACTAAGAGTTAAATTTATAGTTTTGGAGAAACACTCTTCTCACTAAGTAAAAAATATATATAAAAGAATGGAGAATATCAGCACAATTATCTAAGTGTTAATTAACATTGTTCTAAAAGTACTGGTCAATGTGATGAGTTGAGAAAGTGAAGTAAGATTAAAAATATGGGAATAAAATTATCATCGTACCCAGAACTATTACCCAACTGAAAAAGGCAAAAAAATTAACAACAGCAAAACCTTCAAAATAATTCAGTCATTGGCTAGTTACAAGATAAATAACCGATCACCAAGTACAACCACACACTATCTCTTCTGCAGAGGTAAGAATGAGGTAGATTGATGTGTACTGACATAGGAAGATCTATTGCAAAGAGAAAAATGCTAATAGCAGAACTGTTGTCGCCTACGGACTTGGAAAAAACTGATGAATATGCATCAGCTGTTAACCGTTTATCCTGAGGAAAAAGGATTTTAATTATGGGGGACTTTAATTTTCTACATTGTTTTTTTAATAATGTTTACATTTATATAAGTTTTATTTAATGTTTTTAAGTCATAAAAGTGATAGATTTAATTTTCATTTTTAAAAGTGGTGGGATTGTAAATCTCATTTAAAATAGCAATCACTAAAAGATCACTTATACTAGAAAAGTTTGAGAGACATAAAACATTATAAATTTACTGAAATGAAAGTTTAAATATTATAAAGATGTTAGTCCTCTTGTGTAAAACATGTAAATTTTACTCGATCCAATTTCTAATTCATCTAAACATCACAAAATTATCTCAAATTTCTTTTGGAAGTTTTTTTTTTTTTTTTTTTTTTAAAGACAGTCTTGCTTTGTTGTCCAGGCTGGAGCACAGTGCCATGATCTTGGCTCACTGTAACCTCCGCCTCCTGGGTTCACTGCCTCAGCCTCCCAAGTAGCTGGGTTTACAGGCACCCACTGCCACACCCAGTTTTGTTTGTTTGTTTGTTTGTTTTTTGGTATTTTTAGTAGAGATGGGGTTTTGTCATATTGGCCAGACTGGTCTCGAACTCCTGACCTCAGGTGATCCACTCAACTCAGCCTCCCAAAGTGTTGGGATTACAGGCATGAGCCACCACGCCCAGCATGCACAATATATTGGGCAAGTTTTGAAAAAGTTTAATGGGGATGTTTAGTCCAAAGCTATGGCAATCCAAACAATGTGGTACCAGTGTTAGAATGTGCAGGTAGACAGTGAGCCACAATAAAGTTCACAGCACACTCAAGGCCAGGGTGCTTATCCTGGCACCCAAAAGAAGGGCTTGGTGTATGGTACAGAAAGGATTTCATCTAGAGTACAGAAAGGATAGACTTCCCAATAAACAGTGATGGGGTAATTTAGAAAATATATTCCAGATAGATTAGAGGGTTTATTTTTTTAGAGACAGGGTCTTGCTCTGTTCCCCAGGCTGGAGTGCAATAGCACAATCAAAGCTCACTGTAACCTCAAACGCCTGGACCCAAGTGATCCTCCCACCTTGGCCACCCAAAGTGTTGGGATTTACAGGTATGAGCCACCACGCCCAGCCAGATCAGAGATTTAACTGTTTAGAAAGAAATGATAAAAGTGCAAAAATAAGACAGTGAATATTTATACAATCTTGCATTCAGAATTGAAAAGACCTCACCGGGGATGGTGGCTCATGCCTGTAATCCCAGCACTTTGCGTGGCCAGGGTGTGCGGATTGCCTGAACCTAGGAGTTTGAGATGAGCCCGGGCAACATGGCGAAACCCATCTCTACTAAAAATACAAAAAATTAGCCGGGCGTGGTGGCACACATTTGTAGTCCCAGCTACTTGGGAGGTTGAGACACGAGAATCACTTGAACCTGGGAGGCTCAGGTTGCAGTGAGCCGAGATCGTGCCACTGCACTCCAGCTTGGGGGACAGAGTAGACCTGG